AGTACATAAAATTTAAAAGACGAATAATATGAAAAGAAGAAGAATAAATATAGAAAGAGGGGCCGTAAAAATTTGAAATTTGGGGAGGGTGGCTGAATGATTGGGGGGACTTTAGAGGAAAGAAGCAGAGCAATTAAGCTGGCGATGTTGGGCATATTGAGGGAAGGAGATTAGCATTAGGTGGTGGAGGCAGAGGCAGAGGCAGGGGCAGGGGCAGGGGCACATGGGGGGGGGTGAGGGATGGCCATGTGCACGTGAAATCCCATCCACAAGACACGTGCTTCCCACAGAGCCTTGAAAACATAACCCCTCAGAACCAATTCGGCCATTATGATTGGCAAAGGGCTCCAGATAAGACTCGGCAATCCAAAACGAAACACACACTACTATAATATAACTCACTCACTCTTTTGTGCCGCCAAAGAAAAGCCAGTTTCGATGGATGTGTGTGCATCCTCCTGGCACATATCGAAACAAAGCCTTATCCAAGCGCAGTAGAATCTTTAGGGCTTCACGTCACTCCTCTGCCTCCTTATGCATTAACATGTCTTTGAGAATTGAGAGGGGAAGCGCTTCCCATCGTTGTTTAATAAACTAACTCTTCGTTTCCCATAAGACACACTCTTTCTTCCATCTTCGTCATATATGTGTATAAATATTTGAGCGTAGAGGGACCTTCCTGAACAAGCCACCAATGCCATGCCTGACACCCTAGCAGTGTAGCAACTTCGTGAGCATCTTATAATCATATTGCCCTGTGAAGTTCTAACGTTCAATCATGGTATTGTTTTGGAGACAATAATGGGTTTTAGTTAGTGAGCCGGCTCTTAATCTCCTGGCGTCGTTTCGCAATTATTAAGTAGTTGGATTTTTGTGTCATTTTCTCTCGCGAGAGGAATGTTTGGTGGTTATTGGCATACACAATTAAGCCAATGCCTTCCAATCAGGAATAAAAGCTGTCCTTATTAATTGAGGATTTGGACGTTACAAATAGGCTCTAATGATGAGAGCCGCTCTTAAACTTCCAATTATGCGATCAGCCCTGTATTATGCAGCAGCAGCAGCAGCATATTCATCAATCAAGTATCACACTTTATGTGGTCCCCTTCCCCATAAAGTGAACAATAACCCAGTAATTATCAATCCCGGAATATTTACCAGCCGATCAATAGGGAATAGGAATATTAATAAGAGATGTGTGAAGGCAAAGGTAAGAATCTCGGCCCTTTTTTCCTTTCACTTTAGAAAAGAGTTATTCACGTATGTCAGGTCTGTTCGCATCAATCCTTGTTCTGTGGATTCCAGCAATCATGTGATACATGTAAACACTGATTACCAAACATAGTGGGTCCTTAAGTCAGAGGCGCTCATAAGCGCGATACGTATGTGGGAGAGAAATAAGAAAAATAATTAGAATGATAGGGAGAAAAGGATTAGGAGATTCAAAAACAAAATGCTAGATATTTAGACAGCTACCTGGGAAGGACATGGGACCTTACATGTGGATAGATAATAATTGGCAATAATAGGCGGGCGAATGAAAACGAAATAAGGGTAGATCCAAAGGTAATGAAGGCAGGATTTAAAAAAAAAAAGAAAAAGAGGGGACCTATGTTGTACGCTTGTATGTGCTGTGGCTGCAGGATTAAACAGTGTCCAAGAATAAAGGCATAAACTTTGTGCAATAGGTGAAGTGAATTCACCTACATGTTCGTAAAACTAGTTACAGACAGCATGCGCTGTGACTAGACGAGTTAAAGATGGTCCTTCGAATTGGCGTCCTATTTCATGCAAAGAAACGAACATGAACCACATAACAGGGCTGCTCAGAATCTGGACATCGACATCCCTCTCAATGAAAAAATGGAGCCTTAAGGCTAGAGGGGAAGAGGGAGCATCACGTAAAGCAAAGTGGGCCCTCATCTATTTAAGATTTCCACCAAGTTATTAAAAGGCCGTGGTCTCCATCACAGTAACAGGGCCCCACCTGCGTACAACTGGAACCCCTTAGCTGTTCCAGCGTAGCAGAGTGGCTGCCATGTTTGCGAAAGAAACCAGCTCTTTGTAGTCCCTGCCCTGTCCTTAGGGGCCAAATGGTCCCAATACCTATGCGAGCAACCTTCACACCACTATATTCATACGTTTGCTTCTTGTGTCTCTGTGACACTACCGTTCTTTTCTTTTCGTGAATCATGTTTATTCCCCATTTAAGTTTCTGCATAATCCGAATCAGCAAGTAGCCCCCCTTTAGAGATGAAAAACGTCACTTCCTCCTTCCTGTGATTCCTTCTTGTTTGTAATTGCCAACTTTTGAATGAGACATATCAAACAAGGTTGGTTGTTAATTGAAGATGTCCATATTAAGTTTTTCTGCTTTGCTTTAATTTATGGGCCCAAATTGTAATGTTGTCTTCCTTGCGCCACCATAACTTTGACATAATTTGAGCCTGGTCCCTCTTGGAAAAAAAGATGGAATAAAAAGATAAAATGTAAGAAAGATTATGCAAGAAAAATTCCAAGTTGTGGACAGCATCGTCGAGTTCGAAATATAATTTGGGACTCGTCCGCGAAAGAATTGATGGAAAACTTAGTGCAGCAAGTTCCAATATCAGAAGAAGCCAATGGGATAATTGTTTGACAAAATTGGGTTCCAGATACTTGAGACAATTTAGGTTCCGTTTACATTTAAGAAACTTCACCTTTTGCCTAAAGATGTATATAGTTTGAGTTAAATTATCAACCTTTAGTTTCTCCCTAAAAGGTTTGACAAAGAAAGCGACTACTATACATCATCAATCAATAATCAATGTAGCGTCAAAACCCTTAGTCTTCGTAGCTTCCATTCGAAGTTGTTTCTTGCAAACTACCCTACTGCGACCAGTACTCCGTAAAGGAAAGTTGCGGCTTCACGTTACTGATTAAAGATACAAAAAGACAAGATGGAGCGTTTAGTTTTTGCCAAGAAATTAACTCAACTTATTTCTATCGATTAATTAACATCACTCACAGGATTCTGGATCCTGTTTAAAATCTTTGCAGATAAGGATTAGACCGTTGAGCTTGTCAATGGGCAGGGCCATGTGGCTGAACATGATTAAGAATTTTCAGAACATAAAGGAAATGCAGGGAGAGACAGTAAAAAAAAAACTGAAAGAAAAGAAACAGAAATTGGAGGATAGGAGGGAGGAACTGTTCCGAGGTTGATGCGTTGATGTTAGAAAAGCAAAGGGCTATCCTTACAATAATGGAAGCGGTCCGAAAAAACAAAAGAAACAAGAAACAAAAGCACGGGGACAAAGTCCAAAAACTGAGGCTTATCTGGATATGAGGGACCCAAGCTCCAGGAATGCCACGTGGAGACAGGCTAGCTCCGATAGGGATGACATGGCAAAACGCAGGAGATCGCAGGAGCCAGGAAGTGTGGGATTTATAATGGAGATCGTGGGGGCAACGGAAAGGGAAGTTAGAGAAGCTTTAAGACAAACCCATCTGGCAATCTATCCAAATTCATGTGCCTTCATTAATCTTTGTGGCCTCAAAATGTAACGAAAAGCAAAGGTAGCAGCAGCAGAACAAGAAGCAAACCCTCCCTCAAAGAAAAAGCATGATTCCTGTTCCACCACCCTGCTTTCTCTCTGCTCCTCCATTATTACTCCGTCACCTTCCATTCCTTTCTTTTCACCATTTTACCTCCCTCCCTTTTCCTCTAAACTATATTATAATGATAACGAAATGGGGGGTTAGCTCAATTAACGGAACTACCTTCCGGTGATTATTGCGAACTTGAAAGGCTAATTAAAGTATCGCTGGTAATCATGAACAGGCAAAGAAGATTAGGAGGCTAATTCCACAAAAGTGAAGGTGAATCAATGGGTTAGTCAGCGGGCGGGTGATTCATGTATTAACCGGGGTTTGGTTCATTGAATAACTAAAGCTCCATGATCATGGTTTCTTTTGTCTCTGTGTCATGTTGGGATGTAAAATCCTGCAGCATTTACTGAATCATTATCCTGCAACCTCACATGTGCAGTTACTATTCTTTTGCTCCCCCCCCCCCCCGCCTTGTGAGTTGGACGAGCCCATGGGGACTGAGCGCACATAGTGAGGCCATAGAAATTAGCATTAAAAGAAAATCCTAGTCAAATCAGACGCAGTCACAAGATAACTGCTTCTTTTCATGGTGTTGATTACAAGTGGATTTTAACAGATTAGTAAATTCATGGAGTATGTGCGGAATCCAGATCCTCACAAAAAATAAATGGGATGTGGCGTGGTTATTAATATAGGAATTTTAATTTGGAGGAAGCTTTCTGTTCAGAGATACTCTAGTACTGAACTTCTTGGCTGTAAATTTTAAGGCTCGCTTGTCTACTTGGTTTCATAGTTTAAATTTCAGGAATGACGGTCATAAATGAAGGCAATGCAAACTGGTGGAGTGAGAATGGTCAAACTTGAGCAAGGGCGAATCCGTAATTTGGACGGGGATGTGAAATAAATAAACCGGGGGGTGTTTTGGAAATACAAGGCACTCCCAATTTGGTGTGATTATGAATCCGTGAGAGTCCTCATTGAAGTAAATCTGTCACGTTTTATAAAATTAGGAGATTACAAATCTTTTGTTGCTGGTTGCCGAGCTCACCTGGCGGGCTACTTCTCGGTGGAGCTTACTTTTCCCGGTGGTTGAGCCCGAGGACCCGTGATGGGTCACCGGCGATAGTCAGTCGCGATCGTCTACTCACCGGCTGGACCCCGTCACGTATCTAGAATCCCTTTAGTTTAAAGAAATTAATTTTTTCCTTTGCCAAAATTGTCACAAATATTAGGGACAGTAGACCTATACAAAAGCCACATAGCTTGTGAGGGAGAAAGAATCTATGGTGTGCTGCCAGCTATGAACTTGAATTAATCAAAGCTTTTCATAAGGGTCAAAGCTGTCAATTTTTCCCACAGACCCCTTCTCTCTCTCTCTCTCTCTCCTTCCCTATGGTCTTTACAACCTCCACCCATACTTTCACGAAATCTATACTCGTTTAAAACCCCTCCTTTCTTCCTGTGTCTCTCAACCTCCTCACTTCTCTTCTTCATTTGCGTTCTCCCCCTCTCTCCCTCTCTTTGTTTCTCGCTGAAAATATGTGCCTGCTTTGGCCAGGGGAGGGAGAGGCCAACTGGGTTCATCCTTCATAGTTTGATCATTGATGGTTCTTCAACCTTGAATCACCACACTACGACCCCACCACATGACAATGGCCGTCGCTACCTTCTCCTCTTTCAATGCTTCAGAAAAGAAGCACTGGTGGCTTACCAACCGAAAGGTAATGCTTCACTCCCTTTAGATTTGTTTGCACGAGTTTTTCATCTTTGAGATGCTTTCATAATTCCTGAATTCATATATATATATATATATATACTTGCGTGTTCGCCGGTGTAGATTGTTGAGAAATACATCAAAGACGCTCGTAGCCTCATTGCGACCCAAGAACAGAGCGAGATCGCATCGGCTCTGAATCTTGTAGACGCGGCACTAGCAATATCTCCACGCCTAGACCAGGCGCTCGAGCTCAGAGCCAGGTCTCTTCTTTATCTCCGGCGTTTTAAGGACGTCGCCGATATGCTTCAGGACTACATTCCCAGTCTCAGGATGGCAGTCGAGGAGTCGGGCTCTTGTTCTTCGGATAGTTCGTCTCAGCAGCTCTCAAGGGAGGGAGCGAAGCTGCTCTCATCTCCGGAGTCGTCGCCGGATCAGAGTTTCAAGTGCTTCTCCGTCTCGGACTTGAAGAAGAAAGTGATGGCAGGACTGTGTAAAAGTGGCGAGAAGGGAGGGCAATGGAGGTAAATCAATCAACTGCCATTACTCTGTTTCATTGGTTTCGCCACCTGTTCCGGTTGCCAATTCTCACTGATGATCCGTTTTGGAATGGACTTTGTTCATTGCGGGGGCTCAGCCTTTAATGACTCCATTTAAGATTGGGATCAGATCGGTGCACACATAAATGCTGGTGCCGCCCATTTTCAATTGGTTGCCTTCTTTCTACTTTTAAAATAATATTAAATTATTATATTCAATGCACCATTCATGGCATTTACTGTTGTGATTTTTCTCGTGCATCAGCATTACTGTTTCTTTGCTTGCTTCTTTCTTGTCCAAGGCCGAAACTTTTTTCTTCCCCAAAGTTAGATGAAATGAAACTTCAGAAAATGTGAGACTGCCTGTTTACTTTCACCATTCCATTTTTACGCCAGATGCTTTGATGCTTCTAGAAGTAAATGAATATAAAATAGAATAAAGCAAAAGCTTAGATATTATTCGGATTTAGCTTAATCTGTTTCCGTTATGCTAATCACAGATACTTGGTGCTGGGTCAAGCATGTTGCCATCTCGGTCTGATGGAGGATGCAACGGTTCTTCTCCAAACCGGCAAACGACTTGCCAGCGCCGCCTTCCGCCGCGAAAGCGTTTGCTGGTCCGACGACAGCTTCTCTTTAACGAACATTTCCTTCTCCGGTGACACGGTCAACTCCACTCCCACCACTCCACCTCGGACACCTCTTACCGAATTTGAGAGCGTCACCCAACTCCTCAGCCACATCAAGCTCCTCCTCCGCCGTCGCACTGCGGCGCTCGCTGCCCTTGACGCCGGTCTCTATTCTGAGGCCATCCGCCACTTCTCCAAAATCGTCGACGGCCGCCGTGGCGCTCCGCAAGCCTTTCTTGCCGAATGCTATATGCACAGAGCCTCTGCCTACCGTTGCGCAGGCCGAATTGCGGAGTCTATTGCGGATTGTAATCGCACACTGGCTTTGGACCCCACTTGCATTCAAGCTCTTGACACCAGAGCTGCCCTTCTAGAATCCATTCGATGCCTGCCTGATTGCCTACACGATCTTGAACACTTGAAGCTTTTGTACAATACAATCTTGCGGGATCGCAAGCTTCCAGGTCCTGCTTGGAAGCGTCATAATGTGAGGTACAGAGAGATTCCTGGGAAACTCTGTGCTCTCACGACGAAAATTCAAGAGCTGAAGCAAAGGGTGGCTTCAGGGGAAACTGGTAATGTGGATTACTACGCTTTGATTGGATTGCGACGTGGTTGCTCTCGATCAGAGTTGGAGAGGGCTCATTTATTGCTCTGTTTACGGCACAAACCGGATAAAGCTACCAGCTTCATTGATCGCTGCGAGCTTGCGGACGAACGTGATCTTGAATCGGTGAAGGAGAGGTCAAAAATGTCAGCATTGTTATTGTACAGATTGATTCAGAAGGGTTACACAAGTGTAATGGCTACTATCATGGATGAAGAAGCCGCCGAGAAGCAGAGGAAGAAGGCGGCGGCTGCTTTGCAAGCTGCACAAGCAGCAATTCATGTTCCGGAAAAAAGTGGGTGCAGAACGGACTATGAGGGGAAGAACTCAGAGAAAACAGTATCTTCATCGACTGTAAATCCTTCTGTATTCCAGGGCGTGTTTTGCCGTGATCTTGCCGTCGTTGGGAGCTTGCTTTCTCAAGCGGGATTCAACCGTTCTATTCCAATGAAATATGAAGCATTGAGCTGCTGATTTGTTGAAAGTTTTCTAGTATAGTCTTTTGTGTATGTACAGGCAGTGTGCGAGAGAGATTCAATCTTAATCTATGCATGTATGTACAGACACGAAGCAAGAAATGTTCTCATGATCCATTGGTACAAAATAGAAAATCTGGGGCCCTTGGAGATATTATCGGCAGAGGAATCTCTCGATTAAGCAATCTGGCTCGTCCACTTGGTTGTACAAAAAGAAACCAAGGCAGCCGGAAAATTTTGTCACCTTTTCTCTTTAATTCTCCTTTATCAGTTATCTTAATTTATCAGCTGTGCAGAATATCAGTGCTTAATACTCTCACATTCGTGAATTTGGCCCTTCCCTTCTAAATTTCGCGTTCAAACGTAATGGTAACCGGCCTCATAGTCTGGGATACCTTTAGGCCCCCGGGTGGGGAAATATCAAATATGGGATTCTTTTACATGGAAAATGTGGCTTTAGTGTTGCAGCCTTGTAGGTGCAAAGTAATAGGTGTTTGCCTTGGCCTTTTCCCTTTGGTTCATCCGTGGGAGCATTTAATTTTTGCCTCGTTAATTTTTCCAAGAAACTGGCTTTTCTGACACTCCATTGGATTCTTTATCCTCTGTTTTCACTTTCAAGTGTAATGAACTCGCTGTCATGGATGCCTTTTTGATCTAAAACCAGTATGGTTCATCTTCGTTGACGATGTGAACGATGAAAATAATGAGTGGGTGCGGGTAAAAGCATAGTGTCGGCTTCGGTAACTGAGTCTTCAGTGTGTTGTGTTATGATTTGTGCGTTTGTGTGCGTGGGATGGGTTGAACGTGGCCGGATTACGGTGGAGAAAACTGATGAAGTCGTGCACAGGGAAAAGGGCTTGTCAGGGTGCCTTTTCATCACAGGTCTCTCTCTCTCCCCCCCTCTCTCTCTCTCTCTCTCTCTATGTGAACTGTATGAACAACAAAAGCAAAGCAAAAGCGGGTTTCTAAGCCGCACTCAGTACCAGAAAACGAAGTGATTAGAAAGGAAATGTCGAACCAACTTTTTCTTTGGCTTCATGAGCAAGAGTGTTTCTCTCTACTAATCATGTGTTGCGCGCTCTGCTATCTTCCATATAAAACCCTTGCCGCGCCCTAGTAACGTGCATTGTGATTAAAAATATTAGAAGATTTCAAGTTAAATTATTTTGACGATTTTCTGTTTGTTTTGTATGTGCATTTTCAAAGTGGGGAAGCCTAATAATAATGGCGTATGGCCTCTCCGAAGCGTGACCTGTGATTATGATAGAAAGGGAGGGAAAAAACCTGCCTACTTCGAAAAGGGTCCATTATTTTGTTTTCACAGTGATTCTCCCCTTGTCCCTTTGCAACGAGCATCCAAGTACTCTTGCTATTCGGTAGGAAAAGTTGAGTGTGCCCCAATTCAGTTTCTGTACTGCCTTGCATTGTTGGGGAAAAGAAGAAAAACCGGGGGCGCTGAGATAAACAGGGTATAACAATGGTGTTAAAGCAAGTCCGGATTATGCCCTTTCCCATGTGTAAAGGTGTCTCTTTAATACTCTTCCGGTCTTTATTATAAAACCCAATTTGACTTTTTATTTGGTCCTAATTATAAGACCCAATCTATTTTCTCTCTTATATTTATACATTTTTTTCCAAGATAATCCTTCTAATAATGATAGTTTTAGCCAATATACTTAATTAGCAAGGATATTTTAGGAATAACAACACTTATTTATTATAAATAACCAATTTAACTTACTTCCTTAATCTCCTCAAATAAGTCAATTGGGTCTTATAATTAGGACCGGAGGAGTATTATATAACATATCACAACGATTAACCATTTTTGAGTGGCCGATTCATATTACTTAAAGACACGTCTTATTTAATGGGGTTTTAGTGTTTCCATTACCTTTAGCCTCTTATCCGAGATTAGCGATTGTTACTTTTCTTGCAAGTGTGATTTGATGTCCCTTTTCCTTAACAAGAAAAAAGAGAATTAAGATTTGATGTCCCTTTTCCTGGAAGAGCGCCTTCGAATTTTTCCCACCTTACTCTCTGTCCTCATCTTTCCCCATTTCTCACAACTAGATCCCCTTTATTGGTTATCAACTCCAATCATCCAACCCCACACAATGGGGTAATAAACTCATACAAATTCCCTTTGATTTCAAGCAGCTTAACATCTTGCAGTCTTATAACGAAAGAGAGTTATGTATAAAAATAAAGACTGGCTGATTATGCACTTGGTTTTATTTACTAATATCATTAGTGTTGCCAAATTGATGGTGACACATTGACAACCCACCTTCGGTGTTAGCTACTTTGCCATTCTTTTAGTCTATGACATTGTTCTGTTTTGGTTGGATTTTTTATTCTCTGATTTATACCTAGATTCATTGTATCATTACCTCTTGCACAGTGCCTATAATACTGAGATTTGAATGTTGTGACTATTTAAAAAAAGAAAATCAGAAAAGAGGCATGTTATTTATCTATTTAGTAGCTAGATTTGGACTAGCAAATGGCATTGGTGGAGAAGTTGAAAACATGCCTTGCACATCTTCATCATTCACATTATACAATACCCCTCAAGAACTCTCCCCCAAGGCGTATGGATTATATCACTCATCGGCAAATTGTCCATGAATAGCTCTTCTGACACGGTATTATTATCCTATTCGGAATAGGTCAATATTTAAATTTTAAACATTGATCTTCGTATTAGAAGCATATTTTAATATCTTCCGGCGAAAGAAAAGGTGCATATCACGAGGCTACGAGTTTCCTTCTATCCTTTTAAAATGCTTACTTTATTCTATAGTCAGAGACCTCAGGGCATCTTTGTAAGACTATTTCTGATCTTCTCATAAATTGTGAAAGAACACATGATAGACTAGCTTCACACAAGAGGAGGGCACCAACTGGCAAGCGAAAGTTTAATGGAATAACTTGGGTAATTGGGGTGGAAACAGGATAAGCAGGAATATGAGATGGAGCTAAAAGAGAAAAACGGCACGTGATGTTTGAATGTTGGGGACATTGGAAAGAGGAACGGTAATGGCCAGATATGATGTCAGTGGCTCCATGTGATGCTATCATGTGCTTTCTTGAATCTCTAATGTGCCTCTCCACCCCCACTATGATCGATTATAGTGTCTCTTTATAGCTCTTATCAAAACTGGGAGGCATATTGGCTGCATTAATTCTTATTTTTAACGCATTCATTCTTGTTATGCACCAGGCACAACGAAAAGGTGCTTAAAGAAACATGTTTTCTTCTGATTATTTCCGACTTGAAGCTGAATGTTGCAGTCAGCAAGAAAAGCCGAAGTGTGGGATTTTCTTTTTATTGAGGTCTGAGTCTGCAATTAATAATCTTCTTCGCTTTGAAGGGTGATGGATTATGACTTATGAATCCTGTTCCTGGCGAATAACAACTCAAAATCTGCTTCACAGTCAGATTCCATTTAAGGAGGATCCGTCCAAGATTGGTTAAGAGGGATCAGTTTTAGTATTAGGCTGTGCCGTTGAGGGGAATGCAAAGGCTAGGACGAATATCATAATTGAACCATCTAATCATACGGAGGTTATTTTCAAAGATTTCTATGACCGTACCTTAAAAAAGGCCGTATTTTGCAGGAGTGCGTCCTTGAAAGTTGAAATGGAGATTGGGTTGGTTGCTGGTCTTTCCTCGTCAAAATTATTGGGGAAAATTTGAAAGTGGCAACAGTTGGCACCGATGATAGGCTTGTTAATTTTTATCAACTAGTACACGTAGGAGTTGAAAGATTATATCCCAATTTTAAATATAAGATTTTTTTTTTTTGGATTTCTCCTCCAGTATCTCAGGGAAATAGGCGTCTTTCAGCTGTGACAACATCCCCAGACTAATCCGGATCGAAGGCTTGCAAGGAACCTTTCGGTCTGCGCCCTCTGGCCCCTTAGGGTGCTGCATTCCCACAGCTCGAACTCGAGACCTGTGATTAAGCTAGGACAGCCAGCTGACTAACCTAACCCCTCGGGGTTAATATAAGACTTATTTTTGTAGTGTAATTTGTATTATAAAATAAATCTTATATTTGGAACCGGAGGAATATATTATTTTGATTTTGGACTTTTTGAGAGAGTGGGCTGGGTGGTTGAATCTTTTCAGGGACCAGTGGGTTGGAAAGGAAACTGTACGCGATCGCCGTGTGGTTTTGTTTTTTTTGGTATACGCGATTGCCGCATGCTGAGTCAAGGAGAATTATCCAACACCAATGGGTTCTTAGCCCTGTGACAATGCACCCTTCCGAATTGGGCCATCTGACTTTCATTTGCAAAGTTGACCGAACCAAAAGACTGGAGCCTAATCGTCCAAAACCAAAAGGAAATAAGTTGTGATGTTTTTAAAAAATATTTCTTCCAAAAAAAAGGAATAAAATAACCAGTCTGTTACCGTTTGATCTCCCTCTCCCCCTCTTCCCAGTCTAATTAAATTTCTAGTTTCAATAATAATGCATGACATTTCTACCGACCAAACATGAAAATCATGCACGAATAAATGCACAGAACCTCTAACATTACATGAAATTTGAAAAATAAATTGCCCTATCCAACAAACTTATTTACAATCAACAGTGGCTTCGTCAGAAACGTCACCCGGACATCTTTTTAAATCAAATAGATTCGATGCTGATATGGCAGCAATCTGGATCGATTCCATCGTGGCCAGGCGGATGCTTCTACAATTGAAACAAGCTTCCCATGAAAAACGTAAAAAGGGATAGTCACTTGCTCTTCGAGGAAGACAAGACGCCTTTTTTCCTTTTCTTGTTAGAGATAGAGCAGTTTCGGGTTTCACTGCACTTGGTACAAAACCAATCCTCCTCAGGAACAGCTTTCAGAGGAGGATCGCAGCAATCGATGTGGATACCAACTCCACAACCAACGGAACCACTTTCATCACCACAAATCAGCATCACGTCTCCTCTATCTCGGGATCCACATACTTGGCAAGCTGTGTCGTTACCATCATCAATTTCTGGAGGATTCTCAATGATCTCTTCCGACTTCCTTTGAAGGTTAGCAAATGACCTCTCTGCCCAAGCATGAGTCCCATAAAGTACATGTTTCTCGAGTGAGATACCGGGCTTGCACACATACTCCACCAAGTAGTCAGCTAAAACACAGGGTATCTCATGTTTTAAGAATTCTTGGACCCACACGTCAACACGTGGCATGCCCGGGCTAACTATGGCATAGTCAATACCGGTATCAAGGAGCCGGGTGTAAGGAGGTGAAGTTGCTAATATAGTTCCATCTCCTGCTTTGACTACACGCTTTAGAGTATCCTGTTATATGTCAACCAATCAAATGAGAAGCATACGTCAAATTAAACAATCAAGTACTGAAACAATGATAAACCTGTTAATTTAAATCATTTTTGTGTAAAGGGAAACATAAAATTCGCCCACTATTTGGGCTAGCCCTCACCCAAGGATTATCTGAGATGGAAGACACGGCCAGCAATAATGGGAAATAAGAAAAGAATATCTAGACAAACCGGATCTTAAAGGCAAACCTACCAAAGGTGGGACAATGCAATCGCCATATACAATAATGCGCATTCCATAAAAGGCGCCATGACCTGTCTTCTCTTTCAAAAGCCGCCATCTTCTTGGAGCCTCCAAATTGATTGCACCATCCTCGCTGAGGCCACTCTTGTGCCACTCATAAGGTTCTTCTGTCAAGAATTTACCTTCCTGACTACAGGCAGTTAAGTAATCAGTTTTAAGAATCCACCTGCATTCCAGTCCAAATAAATTAGAATACATGAATTGAAATAAATTAGGAGCATGAATGAGTAATAGAAAGCATATGCTGCTGTTTCTAACTCCGGCATAAAACTTTTAACCATTAAAAAACTTTAAGTATGAATACCAACAGAGATATGACTAGAATCTAAAATAACCAGATCTTATCTAAAGTGTACTGTTAAGTTGGTGTCGGACGCAGCCAAACTTTTTTCCAGCCAAACAACATTGAATGCAGGTCCTATGGCTATTTCTTTCCAAAGAGGAATCACGCAGTTCAACTTAAACCCAGCCAGAATTTCCATACCTCCCTGATGCAGCAGCAGCAAAAAATTTCTCAGTCCTGCGTATAGGATCTGGGGTTATGAAGTGTGTTGCCTGATATGACCACTGATGAGAATCCCGGCAGACCCTTCCTTTCAATCGCCTAATCATTTGTTGAAACTCCTTTCTCTGTAAGCGATGCCCACTTACTATAAAACATGCAGCTTCTCTTTTTGCTCTTCTGTTATCCCCTGTCGTAGATGAATTAAGAACTTTTTTCTGAGTCTTTCGACTGATCTTTGCTTGACCTGCACCAATACCAAGAACTGAATTCCCAATGTTTATACCCTCCCCAATGCCCTCTCCATCAAATGGCCTGTTTTCCTTCTCCACTTCCTCAAAACACTCTGAATTATTTTTCAGTACGGCTGAGCTGCTATTTTTACCAGCAGGAAATGAAGCTGCTTCCATGGTTTCCATATTTGTCTCGTCTTTCCTCTCTCTGGATGCAGCCATCTCAGGCCTCATTTTATCCTTGGTAAATGTGGCTTTCTTGTTTCTGCCTTCTGTAAGTTTTCTCCCTTTAGGCTTTCCTTTTACTTTGGAGGTAGAGTCTCCCAGCTCAAGTACCACTGGTTTAGTTCCATTTGTATCTTCCTTTGGAGGCTTTGATTTAGATTTTGATACATGGTGAGTTGCTTCCAACTTCCCTTCTGTCTGGGTAACAGATTTTTTCAAAAGATTAACTGATTCACGATTGTCTTCATCTGCTGCCAGTCCCTTGTACTCAGATTTGTCATCCGGAGCCTCTGTTTCTTCATCCTGAAATTCTCTGCCATTGGCATTTTCTGCAGATTTACAGACACTCTCCTGCTCCATTGACGTTTCGACACTGACAATTTTAGAGGATTTATGGAGCTTCTTGCCGTCACAAAGTGCTGTCTCTTTCCATCCACTTAAACAACCTGCATCATCAGCTTGAGGGGTACTTTCATTTAATGATATGAAACCCTTCCTTTTAGCAGTAGCACCTGATTTAGGTCTAGAACCCAAGCATTTCTTGGCAACTGTCTTCTTGCGCGGTGATTTTCTAATCAACTTATCACTTACTTTGTTGGATAGATCCAGGGTAACATGACCAGTTGATTCCTCATTTCTAGACTTCTTTTCACTTGAATATGAGCATTCAAGATCGTTCCTGGCATTATGAGGTTCTGTTCCATTGCCATCTTGAACGACTTCTTCCCCGCCAAAACCTGCAATATCAGTCTTGCCATTAATTTTGGGTGCATTATCTTGCAGAGACTTCGAGCTCACTGTTTCTGGGTCCTTTATATCACCTCTGCCCACAGGAGAATGGTGTTCTATCTCTGGTAGTTTATTGCTATCTGTTAATGGGGATCCTTCAATGGAAAGTTTTGTTTCTGTTGCCATCTTCGATTTAAATTTAGTAGAAGCTTCAATCGTCCTCTTTTTAGTTAACAAATTACTTGGCCCTTTCTTGTTATCAAAATCACTTCCTTTTCCAGAGCCTTCAACAAAGGCGAAGTTGATGCTTTCACTTGCCTTTTCCTCCTTGCTCAAAGAGGCGTCTAGGTCAGTTCTTAATTTCAAATTATTTAAAGTTGATGCAGAAGGATCACTTATGTTGCCAAGGCTTTCATTTAAGCCACTTGAAGGAGAAAATCTCTTTAAGTATTTCCTAGAGTTACTTGCAGCGCAACCCTTTGCATCTGAGTGTGCATGTCCTTCAACACTTTCAGAGGTCAATCTCAAGTCATTAACCAACTTCCCATACTCAGAAGTGCCAGCCTGAAGATCAGGAGGATGACCCGATGAATCAGCATTTCCAGGAATACCAAAATTTTGGCAGTCAACTGCATCTGGAACACAAGTGTTTTTAGGTTTAGTGCTCTTGGCACACGTGTCGGGTAGCTGGCCAGATGCATCATGCCTAGAAACGCCAGTATCCCCAGAACATTTTAGAACATCATGATGGATGTTTCTGGTTTGATCAGATCTATTCTCATTTTTGAAAATTAACAATGACTCGTGGCCCTCATTTACTTGCCGCAATCCCTCAGGAGCAGCAGAACCAGGAAAGGCATTAGATTCCACTACTACAGGTTTTGATGAGCCAGGGGATGCAGCACTATTAACTTTTGGACTAAAGGGAATCTTAGTTGTATCTCTTCCCCCAGAATTCCCAGGCACGAGATCTTCAGCTTCTTCTTCAGAGTCTTTAGCTTCTTCTGCCATCATCTCTAGTTCATAACCACTGGTTGAGAACGGATAGAAGTTGAGTTATTAGAAAAATTTTATTCGTTCATGAGGCACAAGAGAAATTCTTTATGATTAAATCATATCAAGCGAATAATTTAAGTTAATCAGCTTAAACTGTGTCTTTCATGAATGCCCTACAATTTGCAAAATTGCAGTGAACATAGCGGAGTCTATGCAGCAATAGGCCTTTATTCCACCAGAGAAAACAAGCGCCAGGTACATAGTGCATTATGCAATGACAAGGTGTCAGATAAAGCAACACTGGTCCTTTATTCCTCCCTTATGCAATGAAAAAATGTTTCCAGATTAAGTTATTTTTCAAAATCCATATCAGGTCCAGTCACTACCTTAAAACGAGATTTTAGACAATAGTCATACAGACACCAAGATGACATAATAAATATGCCAAAAGAAATCAATCTGAGAACTCACGCACACACATATGAATATTTCCTTTCATGCGTATCCATGTACAAGATGAAAGAGTCGTGCTAAAATGCTTTACATGCAACAAGACATATTATGCCAACTACTTTGACGATAGGAGGGCTCACCTCTTCTTATATTTTTCCTCAGGGAGAAGCACCCAGTCCTTCAAACTGGAAGGGGGGAAATCACAGCTTTGCATTAAATAAGTCCAAATTTTTATAACAAGTTCCAAATTTCGAAATAGATGGCATGTTATATGTATAATATTATAAGCAACAAAGGGAAAATAAATAAATACCAGTCTTCCAACCACCGATGATTAACTAACTTAATTGTCTGCAGTCTACTGGCAAGCTCATACTTTTCTCCTGCTCACAAAACAATTTTCAATAAAAAGTGTTAAAGATGATTAAACTAAGTTATTAAAAAGTCAGGGGACGCATTAAAATGAAAAAATATTGATGAACATGAATCATCCTAGCAATTACATCAGTGAACCAAATACTTCGTACGCTCTTGGTTGCATGTATCAGATTAGTTCAGATAAAAGTACGTCGCAAACCTTCAAATTTGTAGCATATAAGATGAGTAACTTTGCTTGCCACCAATGGCTTCGAAAATTCAGCACCCATCAGGCCCACCATTGTCTGATGAGGGAAAAACAGGTTCAGGTCTTAATTGTTACAAAACAGTTATCTGCACAAGCTCCAAGAGAAAACTGAAGTATGAGAGACTCTTACCATAATGTCATCCCGATCCTGACGTTGATAACCAGTCAAGCAAACAACCAAAGTCTTCGCACCCGGTATACCATTCAAGTCTCTCAGGGGTCTGTACATGACCTGTACAGAAAACATAGATTTCTAACAGTGTCCAAACTTTCCTACGATGATAATATAAGAAACACTTGCAAGAATAATGATATAGCTATTGCATTAGACATGTATGCAGTTCCTCACATCCTTGTTGTGAGGTTCCAATAAACACATGACAAGTAAATGGTTCTCCATAATAATATGACGTGTATAGCTTAATAAACGAACCAGCAGAAACCAGACACATGTCATGTTATTATTAGAAAGCTGGGCAATTGTTTCAGAGAAACTGACAATCAAGAAACAAAAATTGCATGTTATCAGAAACTTATCCTCACGATGACAAAGAAATTTCAACCAAGTTCTGGGCAAAATACAACTCGAATGAACTCAAAGCTCTATATAAGAGAACATAATTTACAGTTGTAAATGAATATAGTGAAAGGACCCATGAACTAAACCCACACCTTAAAGGTATACTTAATATTATACAGGTGCAAAAGCAATTACAAAGATTATCTTTCCTCAAAAACAACTAACATACTAAATATAATTCTAGCGATGAACTGAGCCATGGCATATGTCTTACGCTAGCTAATTATATTCCAAAATCCAAAGGAAGCAAATTTCTCGATAAGGATTTGGGGGCCAAAAAAAAAAAAAAAGGATTTACAAAACCACAGACATACGGAGGTTGCATCAACTGGCATGCCAATATCAACACTATGATCAACCCACAAAGCCGTGACGAGCGTCTTCCCATCATTTCTTGCGGCAACGCAAATAGGATCATCCTGCATAATACATCGTAAAGCAACGGCCGTGAAGTCTAAATTGTTATTGTAAATTAAATACACAATTCCAAAACTCTTTTCTCCCATCTCTAAATGCGAATGCTATTGGAAAGAAAAATTGGATTTTCTGCATAACAAAGGAAAAACAACAAAACTCGGCCCCCGTTTAGATGGTTGGGATTGCAAGCCGTAAAGTGCTTCTTAGAAACCGGAGTGAAATGAATGGGGTAGTATATGGTGAATTCATATGCTCAGATGTAAGAGAAAACAAAGAGTGAATTTGACTTACATATGTAAGTTTGCCCACAACGACATGAGTGCAACTTGGACCGTACTGACCAACGTCAACTCCACCGCCGTTTACAAGCTTGAATCGGACCTACAGAATAGCATAAAATCAATCAACAAAAGGAAGAAAATGATAATTACCCTTACGTTCGGCAAGCAATCGCCCAGATTGGCCCCGATACGAGAGAAACCAGTAGCAGAATCAGATACAATATACAAACAGAAATGGAAGAGCGAGAAACCTTGCTTTCGTTGATAGGATCAAAACCATAAAGAACGAAACGAATATTGAAAAACACTTGCGACGGAATACTTGTTCCCAACATTTGGGAGGAAAAATCGGAGGTGCGATTTGGGGTCGGAAGACCAAAAAAGATTGAGTTCTGCTCTTCAATCTTCACTTCCGTCAGAGGTGCGATTTGGGGTCGGAAAGCAATCCTCATTTTTGCGAGGGAAACTTTTCGCATTTTATGTTTTTTGATTTTGGCGCCTCTGGCGCGCTTCTGGCCATTGCACCTGAAACTTACTGGCCCAATCTGCACATTACGGATAACAACCCGACCCAGGCCCGTTTGTCCATTGAGTTTTGACTTCTTGGGCAAGAGTTGATTTCTTGAAGGTTCCAATTTCCGATTTTGACCCCATAAATAACAGCCGGTCAATGTTAGCGCCAGAGGGGTTGGTGCACCTAGCCGCGTTGAAGCAGAATTTAGCCTGTGGTCGACTAGAGAAGATCAGAAGAAGAGGAGGAGGGAAAGAGGTTGTCTGTCGTCGTCTGAGATGGCTTGGCTCACGCGATTCTTGGCGGCTGTTGCTTTCTTAGCCATCGGAGTTATATTCTCCCCTGAAATCTTTGGATCAAAATCGAACGCTTCCCATTCCATCAAACTGTCAACCTACCTCAAATTGGCGCATCTCCTCAGCTTCTCCACGGCTTTTGGTGCCGCTCTATGGGTCACCTTCATCGGCGGAATTATCATGTTCAAGTACGCTTTCATTTTCCCCCCGCTTAATTGCACATGTGCATAAGTTTTCCGAACTAAGGATACTACGACGGTTTTATTAGACTGAAATGTTGTCTCGGATTGGACCCAGATTTTTCGCTGAACCTCTAGACACGCTTGAGTACTGAAAAAACTTACAAAACATTATTTGCTTGATATTTAAAATGCTATATCAGCCCTACAATTTCCATGTTTTACTATGCTTTGCCTACCAGGTTTCTAGATGTGAGGATGATGTAGTGATTCCCCACCCCCCTCAAATTCATGATGACTTTAACAGGAATCTCCCGAGGCATCAGTTTGGTAACCTGCAGAGCAAGATGTTTCCGGCATATTTCTCAATGGTCGGTATCTGTTGTGCAATATCGGTGGCGTCGTTTGGGTATCTACATCCTTGGAAATCTTCGTCCACTGCTGAAAGATACCAACTTGGCTTCTTGCTTTCGTCATTCGCATTTAATCTTGCTAACTTGTTTGTCTTTACGCCGATGACTATCGAGGTAATGTATGTGATTTTCCAGTTTTTCACGGATAAATCATGAATTATTGAGTTATGCTTAGAATGTTTTCTGTGGTTATTGGTTCTTATTTCTTCCCCGTCCGTGAAATAGTTTGAATAATCACCCCTTGTCCGTCAAAATTCTAACATATTCAAGCCACCTTTATTCCGGTTATGCCTTTTGTATCCCTTCTCAATTATGTTTGCATGGTTAGAGTAATGCGACTCCGGTTAAGAAGGATTTGACTGGAAGGATTGTTTGAGAGTGATGTGGTTTAGGGTAGAGTGGATTCGTTGGGTGTTTGAATAATTTGAAAAACGTCCTTAGTCATCGCACATTTTGGGCTTAGTTTAGAAAACTAGACCAATGTGACTGATCTGAACAAAAAATTGGTGAACTAGCTAGGAAGTGGATCGCCTTCGGTGATCACTTCTACCGTGAATTGCAAGGACCTCAACCATCAATTGCATCCTGTGGCTCTCATTCATTCACATCTGAAGCTTTCTTTCCCAACAGTTGTGAAGGGCCACCCCCCCCCCCGGGGGGGGAAAAACTAACCACTCTGCTACCGTTGGATCAATCCGACAAACTGAAATGACGCAGTTCATGAGCACTTGACCGTGGGCGATTGAGGGGATCCACTTCCGAACCAGCCATGGGTTTGATTCTGGCTAAAAAAACCAGTCAAAAATCATAAAAACTTTTAGAATTGTTGTGGGCACTGTGGAATAGAAACTTTTAGGATGTTTAATTGACTCTATTGACATGTAATTGTGCATTCATATGTATCAATGATCTCAAACTTGGATACTGTGAAGCTGCCATAGCCCATAAGTTACGAGTGTGTAATGTATTATCTGCCTGAATATTTTTTCACACAGAATTTTAATTGTTGTGGGCTGTGACACAGTTGATGAGGCAAAGGCATAAAGTAGAGAGAGAGAATAATATTGGAGAAGAAATTGGTTGGTCAAAAAATGTTGAAGTCGCAAAGAAGAATCCAAAGCTTGCTGCCATGAATAAAAAATTTGGAATGATTCATGGATTATCTTCCCTTGCCAATATCATGTCATTTGGCGGCCTTGCTATGCACTCTTGGTACTTGGCAGGTAAAATGGATCTTTGATCCAGTTTCTGCTTCCCTTTCTGTGGAGGATTGTCGAGCTCATAAGTTGTTATTTTAACTAAGCCGCTGCTTGTTTTCTGGCAGTATAAGATGGAAAGATTTAGGATATTTATGTAATTTCTGAAAATATGCTGTGGAAGTATCACAGGACATTGCTCCAAGAGAATATTGTAATGCTCTATGAAAACACTGGAATTATTCGGCTTCGCAGGGAAATAAGTAATCATGCCATCCTGTCAGCAAAAGAATAAAAGGAACCACCCCCCCCCCCCCCAAAAAAAAAAAGGAAAGAAAACCGAAAAAAGGGAAGGCCTTTCTTTTTTAACCTTTAATGTGACGCGAAATTGGAGAATAACTTGATGCCTTGGGATTTGAGGCCAAACAACAACTTCGAGGTTTATGCTTATGGCTTCTCCAACTTTGCCCTTGAGGGGTCGCCTTAGAGAGTGTTTGGATTACTCAAAAAGTGTTTTTAAAAAATATTTTTTTTAAAATTAAAATGAATTCTTTCATATATTTATTTTATGTATTGTAAAAATACTTTTAAAATTATGATTTTATTTTTACTTAAACACTTAACGCCGTTTGGAAAAGCAAGTTTTCTATCCTTTTCTTTTCAAATTATGGTATGGATGTTGATGCTGAATGTTGAAGGTTCTGCATAATACTGCACATTTTTACACGTCTCTAGTGGCTCGACTACGAGAAGCCTTGGGAGGCAGTAGCTCTTCTAATTAGATTGGGTAAAAATCAAAAAGTAATTTTACAGTGTAAGAGGAATTTTGCCTTAATTTGTGTAAGCTTATTTTTTAAAAGTCAAACACCCCCTCTCTCTAATTGTGATTAATTGTTGAGTATTTTGTTTTTGTTACAATCTTTGCTCGGTCTTATTTCTTAATGAAGTAGGAGGAGTCTGGTGATAGGTTCTTTTCAGACTTCTGTATTGAAACCCTTGCATTATCCCATGGAAGAACGTTGAGGGGGTTTTTCAAATGCTCATGAGTCGAGACATCCAACAGTCTTGATTTATGATTTTAGATCGATCAACGACAAGGCAACTGGGGAAAAAGGTAATGATATTTGTTGGAATTGTAATGATGATGTGGCCTATGGTTGGGCTCCATACCCATATAATCTTGTTTATGGATGATTAATCGTCAACTTGCTTCTCGTGTGACCCTTCTTGCCGGCGGTTGCGCCGCCCCTCAGCCCCCCTTGCTGATTATGATACGTCATGTGGTGTGGCCAAGTTGATCATGACATGTTGAAATTCATTCCGCATACGTGTGTTCATGTAACGCATATCCATTATTTAATTTGATTAAAATAAAATAAAATCATGCGTGGATGGGTGAATTACGTTGAATTTGTGAGTAAAATTCCAAAAGGGTTTTTGAACCTCCAAGCAAAAAATGAAAAATATAAATAAAGAAAAGAAGAAGAAAACGTGTCCTGAAACAATTCGTCTTGTTTTGGTTAAGTGAGGTTTTAGGATCCAACTAATCAAAATTCTTATTCACCAAGGGGGAAAAAAAAAAGGATGGGTTGATAATACTGAGATAGATAAATCTGCAGAGAACACGAAGTGGCTGTAAATCCCTGTTGTAGTTCCCCCCCCCCCCCCAAAGTAAAATTGAAACTTCCTAGCCGACAAAGCTTTGAATCAGAACCACGTTCGTTACCGGACAAAAGAAAAACCATTACAATAGCTAAACCCCTGTTATCGGTAGTCGAATGAGGCTGGGTTACACGGGGATATATATGCGTGTGACCGACCACTTGCATTCGGAAGATTCCGGGAAGGAATGAAAGCGATCACAAGTTCACAACACCAAAAATATTGGAAATGCCGAATATTGGGCGGAGGTCGCCATTGCTTTAAAATTAAATGATGAGATCGCCGCCCACCCACCTTAATTACTTCTCATTTAATTTTGGGTCTCGTTCTTCAATATCACAACCCCCGATTGCTTAAATTCATATCTGCCAGTTTGGTGGGAATCGGAAAAGTGATATAATACTTTATTACCAGAACAAGAACCGGAACTTGTAAATGCAAAGAGCGAGAAGCGAGTTAGGAATAAAAGTGAGGGCTTGTGATGGAAGATTAGAATGTGGGTTGCTTTGTTGGATGGATAGACGTTTGGGGGTGGGACGCGGGAGGGCCTACTCCTTTTGTCCGGTAACGAACGTGGTTCTGATTCAAAGCTTTGTCGGCTTTCACGCGAACGTTGGATCTGCATGTTCATCACATGCATCATTCCTTCCTCACACGGTTCCTTTTCCCTTGTGTTCCTCCGTTACTTGCCTTCCTAAGTTACAGCCTTGTGTTGTTCTCATCTCTCAACCAACATACCCAATAATCCCGTATAATGCCCCAACCCTAATTTCGTATTCAAAGCCGCCACGCAAACTCACTCCTCCCCCAATCCCAATCATATTTGACATTGCCCTCTTCCTACATGCCTTGCTACTTGCACAATCAGAAACCGTAAGAAAAGCAACTGTCTTGCAATCCTTCTTTCCAATTAGCCATGCCAAATATTCCATAAATGAGCAGCTAGTTTAGACAGGAATACGAGGGATGCTCCAGTCCATCCCTTAACCAGTCTCCTGGAATCAAGCAACTAGTTTTGCAAATTTCATATTTGAGGAATAATTTTTCTAGGGGCAAACACTATTTCTGAGGGACACTTCGCTTTTCACTATTGAAATCAATGAATAAAGAATCACCTAATTGACTAACTGTCTCTACATCCATGTCCCCTCGTCCTATACAACTTTTCTGGCCATAAATAATGAATTATCATCCTCTATTCAATGGAGACTGAAGGTGCTCGTGAGTAACAAGCGTGCTGGAAACAAGAGCACCACAAACAAATGCATGTGTTGGGATGCAACAAGCCTACTGAACCTTTTCAACGACTCTCTCCCTGTTTTTATGACGCCTGAAAAGGCTGACCCCGCTTCACTCACATTGATTGATACCACCGACCTCCTGACAACAGCGCCAGCATCAATCCCATGGGGTGCCAATGCCACCAGAGGCCACCACACCTTCCGCCTGTGCTCTCTCCTCCTCCTTCGGATTCTGTGAAGTTCGTCGCGGATCACGCTTCTAACAGATTTTAAGTAGGAATTCATGTCATGATCCCTTTGTATAGTTCCACCTGAACCATAAGCAGATCGGTCACTTAAGATCTCAAGTGGATGTGGTGAGTTCAAAAACACCAGCTGTGCAGCTAGGAGCTGCCTGTAGATGTGATGATTGGATTCTGATGAAAGACCACCCAAAAGATAGAGACCACATCCTGGGGGAAGGAGGTCATGTCCTGGGGAAAATTTCTCTTCCGGCTGCAGAATTAGCAGTTCACCCATAGGTGTATATAATACCTTCTGCAGTGAAAGATTCACAAAGTGATTTAGAGGATTAATGACATAATATGAAGTTCTTTCTAAACTTGAAACTTCCATGAGAAAGATTACCTGGGTATTAAGACAAGGATGATTACGGAAGTTTCCATTGACAGCCTTTAGCAGCTCTGCTACATGATTAGGATAATTGCAAGAAAAGGCTCGCGGTACTATGTCTCTGTGCATTGTAATTGCCTGAACATGACTCTGGGGCAATCCTAGCTTGTCTAGCAGTCTATCACCACCACACATGATGGAAGGGGCACCAAAGGTTATAACAGGAAGAAGGGAGGAGATTGGCACTTCGTCTCTCATCAGCAGCATGAGATTTACAAGCAATGCCAAACTTCCCCCAAGGGAATGCCCTGTGAAACGGAACATTGCACAAGAACCTTGAGATCTTAGGTGTGCATGAACCTCTGGCAACATCTGTTGGTAGATCCCTTTAGCAGCCTCATATATACCTCTATGGACAAGAATATCCAGCCCCTTGGGAAAAAAAAAATCATAACATGTATCTCATTTTTACCAATTTTAAGAAATTTTCATGATTGTTCGTTAACAAAAGGTCTGAGAAAAATTATTAACTACCTCAAACTGAACAGGCTCGAAAAGTAGGTTTGCTTGCCAGGATTCTAGGGACTCAGAGCCCTGCACATTTTAAACAATATATTATTTGGGGAGTAAAGCAAGCCACCAAAAAAATTCAAATTCGGCAAAATAATCTAAGCACATGCAAGTTTGAAACATAACATGTTACATTACACAACTACCTGTTCAGAATATTATGGTCTTAGTTGTTCAAGGTTTTACTGCTAACTTTCAGCATTTTATAAATATTACTACTTAAAATAGAAGCACACCACCCTGTTTACCTGGATGACAAAAAATCTGGTACCACTCTGGTCATCATCACATATGAACCATTCACAGGGTGATGAACTTGTTGAGTTCAAATCATCTGCAACAGCCTGCTTCACTTCTTCCTTCGCAGCCACCACAGCTGTCACAGAATCAGTAGTTGCCATCAAAGAAGCTACCTCTGTGTTTACCATGTTGACACCATCAACATTTGCACTGCCTCCTTCAAGTGAACCTTCACTAATCCCATCTTTTGAGGATTTAAATGGAATTATGCTCCTGGTCCGAGCATTTAGGTAAGAGGCAGCAGAGGCAGCAATCTCATAAGCAGCCAACGCACTAATGTTGGGTCTACTGTTCTTTTGTTCCTTGCTTTCGTCTCCGTCATGCTCACTAGTTTTCACTTCCTGAGTTTCAGCTGACACCTGATTTTTTTCAGCCGTTGTAGAGGAGTTTCTTTTCTGTTGTGATGAAGTTACAAAACGCAGTCCATACTTTTGCAGGAGGTTCCCCGGCTGAATTAACAAAGCCAATATATAGATCAATGACAGAGATTTATAGATGTCTTTATATTATACGTTGCAAAAGGATTTTACACAAAAGATCATGAATTAACACCCATCTATTCAATTAACCCAGGACTATACGTAAACGGCAAAACATCAATCACATGAGTTCCGAGTATCAAATTGTTCAAAAATACATCAACTAAAAAATTTTACGATCTATTATTCCATACTGTTCTGAGTTAACTGAGCAGAGTTAGACACGACATAAAAAACAAATTATTGGGGGCAATGCAACCTAAGTATAACATTGATAAGAAGGTGTTCCGTATTAAACCAGCCGAAAGAATGTTCAATATCCCTATCCCTTGTGGATGACAAAGCACGCCCACCAGGGGGGAAAAAAAAAGAAAAGAAATTTCCACAGCAAGCACTTACAACGTGAAAAACGTAAATTTCAAAGAACTCTGACAATTTTTGGCTAATCTGAGATAAAATGAACAATCAGCAGGATATCTGATTTTCAAGCAATGCGATACCACCAAATCATTCAGATTTCAGAGTAGTCTCATCCACAATAAAGATTTTACGAGTTTCTCAAACTTCGCGACGGCAGACGAGATCTGAAGCCTCGTAGACCATTATGTCCTGCCCTATATTGCCTTTACCCAAGAAAAACGGAACATCCAGTCATTTCTTTTAGAGAAATATTTGTCTCCAATAAACGATTAGGCGATTAGTCATACAGATCAAACTGTATTGCCAAAACTCCGATAAAATAAAGAGAGCAAACATAAGATAAAAGAAAAACACCACACCTTGATTTTGGGTATACAGTATGCCAAGCTTCCCAAATAGGACATCTGCGCATACAACCTGGCTTCAGCCAACGACACCCTCCGAAGCATCCTTGAAAATGAATCCCTGTCAAATTGAATCTCTTTATCACCACCATCATCATCAATCTTGCAAGCATCACATAGCTCCTCATTATCACACCCAGACCGGTTTGTTTGATCGTTAGCTACGCCCTCCTCCTCTTCGATTTCCGTATCTTCATCACCACCGCCATGAGCACTGTTCCCCTGTTCACCCCTCCAGATAGATTTAACATGTAAAATCTTAAAGACCCAGTTCCCACTCTGACCCTCTGGACCCATTGTGCCATTATCCTTGTCTTCTTGCACAGCTTTTTCTTCCCCGTCCTCCACCGATACGGCGTCGTCGATGGCCAGCCCATTGTACCTGTTACTTCCACCTCCGCCGGGCCAGAGAGATCTGAAAGGGTATTTAAACGAGAATCTCGAAAAGACGGATTTCTGGGTCGATTTCTCCGTCGAGGACCGCCCAACCGCGCTTACCTGAGGCGGGTTTGTCCGCGCATCCAAGGACCCGCTAATGGAAATCGTTGGAGGCATCCCAGTTATACCACTTTTGAAACACAGGGCATCCATTCTAGCTTTCTGTGGTTTGCCTCTGTTTCGAAAGTTCGTCTTTCGCTTTACGCAGAATGTTACAGAGAACGGTCAATTGCAGTGGACGATTCTATCAAATTATGGTCTATCAATAAACACCATAACCCTTGTATATTCCCAGAAAGTGGGCTGTCAATGGTTACTTACTTCGTCTGCTTCGTTTCGTTGTGTAATATTACAGGGTAAGAGCGGAGAATCAAAATGAACGAAGAGAAGCAGTGAGGCTTGCGACAATTTAGAGAGAGATGTATAATAATATACTGGTCAGGGCGCTTATCAGGTCACCAACTTTCGTTTCCCCGTCCAATTGATTTCATTCTTACATCATTTTTATAGGTTATTACAAGTTTTTTTTCCTATAATTTCATAAAATCAAAATTAAATAAATATTTTCAATTTTTAAAAAAACGCAAGTACATATATCTTAAAAGATATGTAAACTTTTCGATAAATATATAATTTCTTGCTTCACGAAACTTTTTTTTTTTTTGACATTTTGTTACGAATGTGTTTTTTACCACGGCTAACATGGTTTTTTGACAAGAAAAAGATTATATATTAATCAAAACTTTGACCTCAAATGGCGACCTCGTTGCGGTTTGAAGGGTGGGTTTGGTGTTCGGAATTTGGATTGAAGCGCACGTGGGTAATGGTCAGTCTGTCGGGTTGTGCAACATTGAGTTTTCGTACGAAAGCGCGTGGTCGGACCCACAGCCTGCCCCTGACGGTTGCCGAATTACTCAAGAAGAGTGCCACGTCAGATATTTTAGACGACTACTGACGTGTCCGTAACGCATGAACCCGCTGCCTTCCTATCTTTCCGTAAACACGAGATCTGAATCGCCTCACGCGCCCCTGTTATGACGTGTTCCACTCGCTTTAGAAAAGCTACACCTCTCACCTTACTCGAACTTCAATATGTCGCGGTGGCACTATAGTAATATTACAACGTATTGAAGACAGTTGACAACAAGATGTCAGTTTGGATTCATCCAACAGGAAAAAAATAAAATAATATGCCAATCATATCTAGTTAAAGGATTTGTTCTTCTCCTTTTCTTTTCCCTTCTCACTTTCAGGACTCTCAGGATTTGGTCTGCTTGTTTATGCGAGGGTTGTCGTTTATCTACTAGAATAAGTTACTCCTTCACAATATAACAAATCAAAATTTAAATTTTTATTAAGAGAAGTATTCATATTTAGTGTTCAATAATATTTTAAATAAGATTAATTTTAGCAAGAAGATATCTACACTTTAAGGGGAAAAAAAACCTTTTAGATTGAGCCCGGTCACAATTTAAAAGTCCAACTCGTACGGAAATCCTTGTTGGGCCAATACAAGATTTAAGTTGTAATCTAGTTCATGCTGTAAACTAAGTTTTATGTTCAGGACAACACCGTGATTTGCTTATGTACATGCTTGGGAGACTATCACAATCCATTTCCGCCTGAAAAACTAGTACACTTAATTTGGACATTTCTACACACCAAACACACAATTCATAGAGGCAAAATCGTTACACTATCTTTGATTCGATAAGCTTTATTATTGAGATTATATGGTTTTTAATATATAATTCAATTTTTCGCCAATATATAATTAACTTTTATTCAATTTAATATATTAATATATTTGCTAACCAGATATACAAAAATGTATTATGTCTACAAATTTTTAAAATATAGTTTATTTTCGCTGAACTTTACAAAAAAATTTAAGATAGTACAAACATTTTTTAAAAAAAAGTAATATAAAGAATTGTTTGAAATAGATGTCAGAATTGTGTGATTTAATAAAATAAAATTTAGAAAAAGTTTATGAGGTTTATTTTTCAAATTATGATGTTTGTTCAAGACCCAAAGCTTAATTATCCAGTTAAGAAATCCCTGTCAAAATCATGGCCAAGGTTAAAACCCTCCGGAACCGTTAATGCTTGGACATGATGTGTTTTTTTTTTTTTTAATAAGGTGAATATCGTATGATTTCCCGTTTATTTTATATATGAGCGCGACTTTTTACTCCTTCTACTTTATTTAGTAGCCAAAAGTATAAATCAGTTCGCCCATTTTTATCACAACTCACAAAACAAGTATCAGACCTTTTACGCCAAATTATCTGCATTATCCTGACTATCATTTTTATTTTAATATTTAAATTTTGAAAAAATCATAATGCATAATAAAAATATCTTTAAGTTTTTAATTTCAAAAAATAGCTTAGACTAGAAAAAGATGAAATTAGAACCGTCTGAATCAAATCTATAAAATCCAAAGAAAGCATACATAATGAATACGATTGGGAATCCACTCTCCTGGTTATTGTTGTTTTTATTTTTAGTCACAATTGGGAATCCAAACCCGTCAAGCATTCTTTAGCTGTTACTGCGGATATTTCATTTAATTTCATGCTAGTGAATAATGAAGGAAATATAGATTTTGTCCTGACAATCGAATTTTAACCTTGTCAGCTACTGTTACCAGGGGCCTGTGTTCATATTCTCCTTTAGTTCAAATGAGACGCCCTTTTGACGAGTGACTTACTCAGGCATTAAGACAAGGCATCCTGCCATTTTAACGCTAGTCATACAAGCTTAATCTTCAGCCCACCTCTATCTTGGTGTAAGTACTTTCTCGATGTCCAAGTTATTAAAAGCAATTATATTCTTTTAATGAAGATTTAAACCTTGACTAGCCATTTTATAATAACTTAGTTCTTTTCATTATACCCAATCCCCATTGATTCTTGATGTACAAGTTGAATGCACGCAGAGTGGTCAATGCTTAATATCCAGCAAAAACAACCAGCTTCGTCCACAAATTTTATGACTTATGTTACTGTTGCACCATAAGCAATTTCCAAAACACAACTCCCCAAAATTTCCTAGGTTTAAGCGACCGCTTTCCATCCAGACTACAAAAGCTAAGGATCCATGTTTCGTTTCAGATCGTGTTAGACTTTCCTTTCATCTTGACAAAAAATAGCATGTCTAAAAGGGCGGTGTAGTCCTCAGGACTACAAATTGACCTCTATGACAGAAAACCATTACCCACGCGTCAACTAACCGGACAGCGAAGCCTAATCTAAAATTTCCCGGAGGTACCTATTAATCACGTTACATTGAACAAAATATCATGTATCCATGTATCCTAACCAAGAATTGCTTTTATCTTCGTTTTCTGCTCCTCCGTAAGTGACGTGGGGAACAAAACCTCAAAAGTTACGTGAAGGTCTCCTTTCTTTGTGCTCATATGTAATGGCATGCCCCCTCCTTTGAACTTCCTCACTTCCTTTGGATTCGTGATTTTCTGAGGGGACAGTACAAGTCTGTCAGAAGTTTGCTATTTTCGTTTCTATTTAAAACCTGACAAACGGAATTAGTATCACCTTTGAGCTGATGTCCACCAGATGCTCATCCAGGTGTTTAATGGTCTTCTCAAAACCTACAAGAGCTTGAACCTGAAAGAAATGAACCCAATGAAGTCTCAACTTTGAGGTTCTAAGTTCAAATGTTAAAAGAAGGCCCGTGTGTGCGTCCAGCGCAAAGAAAATTTAAGCACGCATAAAAGAGATGGGCACGGTTATACACTGTCTTCGTTGTACTCGGCTGGTAAAAGCGAACTACCATTGGTATACACATGAACAACTAAAAATGCTTACCAGGGATATAGTAACAGTGGTATGCAACTCATTCCCTTCCCTTCTGAAGACGCCATGGGGTGCTGTACGGATGCGAAACTATCCAAAATTCCAAAATACAGTACTCAATATCAAGAATACGAATCTATACAACAGACGATAAATAAATACAAAATAACTAGTTACTAACTCTTAAATCTCCAGATTCGCCATCAATCGTAGGCTCTCCATCTTCATAAAATAACACTTCCTGTGAAGGGACAAAAACTTGTAACTCCACGTGCCAATGATACGTCATCAATTTGCATTAAAACAGAGAAAAGCACATAAGAGAGTGCAAACCGTTCAATATTCCAATTTCCAAGTACCTTGAAAAACTACTTAAAAAACCCCTCTCCCTACTCTGACATGCACTATGTCTCTCACTATCCATTTGCTGTCAACATAAAGTCTAAACCCCAATAGTCAGTCGAAACAATGTCAGTCAACTGAATCCAACTCACAGGCAAATTATTATAGCAACCAACTCCGTCTTCTCTCATTTTCAGTTCTTTAAATTTTTCAGGGAAATTTCTCATTCATCCATTCATCTGAGGATGAATTTGACAAAGGATGGAAAAAGAATAATGGGAGTGATATGATCAACGAGGTGGGTACTTGGATGTAAACCAAAAATTAAGCCATCAATTAAGACGCAAATTTGAAGTGTTCTTCATTGTGAGTTGTACTTTTCTTTGCAAATCATTATTTGTAGTTCCTATTTATTTAAAAGAGAAAAAAAGAGAGACATGAGTTGCGTCGGTTTCCATAATTGTGGCAGATCCCATGACTCTGGGAATGCTTACAAAAGTACACTACTATTACCCACTAATGAGGTCTTGACATTGACTGAGGAATTCGAACCAATACCTTTTATGGAGTATGAGCCGTATTTTTACAAAATGACCAATTTTTGCTAGTTATTTGTTGGTTTTTCATATATTTTAACTATGAAATAAAATATCAAATTTGTTTACCCCCTTTTTCTTCCTCATTTTTCCCTATTTACAGATCAAACTCAGCTTAAGGATACAAACTAAAAATTGGTTTATAATTGAAGATTCTTTTTGAAGTTTAAATCATCGCCCAATCAGAGCGTTAGTGTCTTTAAAAGCTTTCCCATAGCGGAGAGCATACGCGAGAACAGCTTATAAGACTTAATGATATAATACTAAAGATGACAGCTTTAGAAGTTTACCTGCCCATCTTGCATGCCTTTCTCAATATCAACAGTGATGAAGTACCCCTCTCTTTCATATTTGACATTAGGACATTGCTCACAGACCTGTAAAGTAAATTCAGAATAATAAGTGAGCATCTCCACTTATTTTAACCACTTGAACAAAATTAACCCGCACCACCCTCCCAAAAAAAAAAGGGAAGGGGAAAAAGCCCAAAAGATGATGACACAAGAATTTGCAAGTCTGCATTATAAATACAACATTAAAAACTAAAATGATATGTTCTATCAACATTATTAGAGAGGCTGTTCACCTGCTCTGTCATCTGTTGAAACATTCCAGGACCAATTTGCTTGTGGTAAACCTCATTTCTACAATTACAGCGCCTCTTCCCCGGTGCTGGCTTTAAAACATTCTTCTCTCTCCAAACCTTACAAGTACAATATAAAATACAGAGTGAAGCAATCACATTAAACCTCAGAACTTCTAAACATCGAGTGCCCAAGACTTGTGCACGGTGAGTTAGCACCTAAACTGAATATCACTATGATTCTTTCCAAGTATCCCTGGCTTGGCTATGGTGTGTTTCAAAATAAATGCATATAATGGTATAGTACAGTTTTTGCGATAGAGCAGAGAGGGAAAAACGTGCTCCAGGAAAATCAAATCTGTGATGTCGTGTGGAATATGTGAATTGGAATTTAGGTAACTGAGCCTTGTGCATAAACAAGTTTTTAAAAATAGCAGCCACTAAACACGTTCTGCTTAGCAGCTGTTATTCTATATGACTTGGCCTAATAACAGAGTACACGTTATCATTTATATGACAGCGAAATGTTATATATTGATCCAAAAAATAAATCTGGCATCATTTGCATGTCAGCAGAACTCTGCATCTCATCAATAGATATAAGGTTCTATTCCATTTAACGACAACAATTGCTCAACATCACTGTACCTTCAAGGAACCTCCCATGTACAAATCTTCCAGGGTTGCATCCAATTCAACAATGACATCATCACCTTTTACAATTCGCTCTTCCTCCTCCATTGAACCTCCACCAAAGAAACTGAAAGAAGAACTCTAACTTGTGAAACAGAACCCCATATTACACACATAAGTATATCAGAACAAAATAAGTATTACTGCCCGCAAGATCAACCAACGATTGGATGAATATAAGTGGAAATCAGTTTCAGAATAGTAATGTGCCTCAACTCTGTTCAGGTTTCACGCATGTGCACTCTCTGTCATGCAAGACGAAATTAGGCATAAAATTTTATAAATAGCTTTTCAAATATTCATGAAGATACTGCGTAGTCAAAACTTGGCCTCTTCAATTCCCCAAGCCCCAGTACGCATGATAACAATACATATTGGACTTACGTGCTGAAAATGTCTTGGAAGTGCATTCCACCACCACCTTGGCCTCCACTAGCAGCATGCTGCTTCAAGCCCTCTTCACCGTACCTATCATAAATACTTCTCTTCTCGCTATCCGACAATACTTCATATGCTAATTCATTAACAGTCGAAAGAGGGAAAAAAAATCAGAACCAAAACAAAAACATATTCAATTCCGATACGAATCAACCAATCCACATATACCATTGTTGATCTCAGCAAATCTCTTATTAGCTTCTTCGTTGCCCTGATTCTTATCTGGATGATACTTCAATGCCAGCTTCCTGTACGCCCTCTTTATCTGCTCGTCGGACGCACCCTTCGACACTTGAAGTACATCATAATAGCTTTTTCTGCCACCGGATGAATATAAGCAAAGGCTTAATGCCAAATGTATGCATTGTTCATGGGAGAAAACAGAAAGAATACCCGGCAATGACGTTTAGAGAATAGCAGAAGACACATAAAATGAGCAGAAGCTTTTCTCTTCGATGTGCCATGAATGTTAAGAGAGGTATGGGTAGAGCTAGAGAGTTTATCTCTCGAAATGCAAATCTAATGCCCTAAAACAGGATCTCGGTTCAAGCTTCAGAGTCGAAGCATCAAGATTCGGAATTAGGTTTTTCAAAGAGAAATCAAATGAAGAAAAAAGCCTTGGATGGTTGAATCGAGCTCGAATTCTGTTCCTTCCTCTCCTCCCTTGTTGTTATCTTCTGGCTCAGATTCCGTCTCTGCTTGCTTTCCACCTTCCCAGACTGAAAGTGATTCGGAGGATCCTAGATGGCACCCGCAGACTCCTCTCTGCAACGTGTTTCATTTCATGAAGAACTCGACCCATCTCGCGGGCGAATGGCTGATTGACCCAATCATATTATCACACGTGGATATTAATTTTTCTTGCTTTATAAAAAATTTAAAATAAATAATTTATACTGTATCTCTGCACAATATAAAATACTATCTCTGGTCCTAATCAGTCATCATCCACCTCCCGAACTGAATTTTTATACCACCCACCGTCCTAATTATTATTTGTAAACTGATGAGCTATGGTTATATGGTTCAAGGATGCTTCTTAAAAGGTTTGGTTCGGAATACATACAATGAACCATGAACACGGTTGATAAATTTTTCATGATATAGACACATAGGAGTATAGAGAATGAAAGGCACATGTCTATTAGAACAAGTTGATTTTTAATTTTGTTATAAGTATAATATTTTAATTCACCTTATCTTTTTTATTTATTTATTTTTTTAAAGTAGTTTTTGTAGTACTTGTATATGTTAAAGTTTTTATTAAATGATAATTTTAGCTAATGCACATTGTTAGTAAAGATCTTTTATGAAATACAACATTTATTTATTACAATTAACTAACTTAACTATTTTTTTAATCATTTCAAATTAATCAACTAGATTTTATATTAGAGACTAGACATGGTATCTAGTAATTTTCGATCCCTTTGTTTTTCTTTCTTTCTTTTTCTTAATTACACCCCAAAAACGAAGACTCACAGATCTACCTCTTCAAACTAATTTTGGTCTACGCAATAAGACAGAATTGAATCCTCAATAATTTGTTTGTTGGACGAGAATACTCCCTTTGTTTTTGTTTTTTGTATATAACGGACCAAAGCCCAAACGGCAACTAAACCAGGCAATCAATCATGGGCAAATAAGTAGCACCTAATGAATCCCCATGCATCGGACCACATGAGCATCAGGCGGTTCGTGGAGTAATTCAAGACACAGACTAAGAAATACTACCTTCGGTCCCAATTATAAGAATCAGTTGACTAATTTGAGGAGATTAAGAAAATAAGTTGAGTTAGTTATTTGTCCTAAATAGGTATTGTCTTTCCTAAAACATCCTTACTAATCAAATGTATTGATTAGAACTATCATTATTAGAAGGGTTATTTTGGAAAAAATGTATATATACAAGAGACAAAGTGGATTGGGGTCTTATATTTATGATCAAAATAAAAATCAAACAGGGTTTTATATTAAGGACTGGAGGTAGTATAATTCATGTGTTTTTTCTTGTTTAATTGATAAACTTTTTCTATTTGCTAAAGCATAGGTATCCTCCTATTAGAGGTAATTATATTCAAGGCACTATGGGACACTAAATGTAGACACCAGACCTAACCCTGTTGGTTTAGTTAATATACTTTTAATTCAACTTGACTATTAATAATACACTGGGCTTCCAAATTTTGTGAGAATGAACACGAAACTCTTTTTTAAAAAAAAAAAAAAAACAGTTGATGTTGTTTTGTAATTTTAAGATGACAACGAAGCATGAAGAAACTTTTATTTTCAAAAGCAACATTTAAAGTTAGGTGAAAATTTTAAAACTTGAACGGAACTTAAGTATTGGACTATTGGTTACTAGAAAGTTATTCTGACAGCATCCCTTGGTTATAACGCGTGGCGGGATGGACCCAGATCCCTGCAAACTAAAGGTCGTGTAAGGTCTGTAATGTCACAACTGTGAAACTGCACTTAATTTCGACTAACCATCAGGGAGCACAGGGGACTATAAAGAGGCAGGGGTGATGAGAATCAGATATATAGAGCCATCTTCAAATACACACGCAATATATATAATACGTGAAAGGAAACCAAATTAGTGACGAGACAAACTTGTATGTATACGAAGGAAGCCTTAAATATTGATGGATATGCTGGTTTAATTTATATTTATAAGCAATGAATTTGATTGGAGGGCCGGGGAGCAAATATTTGGTAATTAAAATGAACAAACGCAGGAATTGAAGTGGGATGTAAAGGGAAGGAGAGGGGGGGAGGGATGAACGTGGGAGATGGGAGCCCCGCAAAGAGGCATCGACGGTGGATTAGCCACGAGGGTATTAGAGACACGGCTAACGTGGCACAATGTGGCACCACATGCACACGCACCCCCACTCCTATTCCCTACGAGCCCCCTCCCATTTATAAGCTCTATAAATTAAATGCCGTCATGGCACTCGGAGCCAGCTGGGACACAGCGCGAGGGAGACAGAGAGAGAGAGACCTTTCTCCTAATGCAAGCAGCATCATACATGTTTGGCTCTCTGTAGGTGGGTGGCCTCTCGCTCAGACATGGGAAGAGCACCCTGCTGCGAGAAGGTGGGGTTGAAGAAGGGCAGATGGAGTGCTCAGGAGGATGAAATCTTGACCAAGTACATTCAGGCCAATGGCGAAGGCTCCTGGAGGGCTCTGCCCAAGAATGCCGGTTCCTCCATTATCACTCTTTTTTCTATATATTGATCATTCTTCTTCGTCTCCCTCCTGTTTCCCTCTCGTGACTTTTAATTTATGCTGTGTTTTGTATATTTATGTGTATTAATTATTTTCTTCCTTTCCTTCACAGGGCTGCTGAGGTGCGGCAAGAGTTGCAGGTTAAGATGGATCAACTACTTGAGATCTGACCTTAAGAGGGGCAACATTTCTGCTCAGGAGGAAGACCTTATTATCAAACTCCATTCTTCTTTGGGCAACAGGTTCACACATATTACACTACTCCTATATATATGCATGCCATAACGCTTATATATATATATATATATATATATTAATATTACGGAACAGCTCGGCTTAACGACACACCAGTATCTTCATAATTTATTTCATAGTTATTAGTAACGCCGTTATTTAAGGGAATCAATAAATCAGCACGAAGGAGTTTCGTTTTTAATATTATCCAGTTTTATGCAAAAGGACTTTACGATAACAAAACAGCTCAGCTACTATAATACTTATAGTAATTAAATGTATGCATAGCTGTTCTCGAATCTGCATTTATTTATTTTTTTAAACGTATAACTTGGTACTCTTGTCCAGATTTCACAGTAATGAGGTTTCATTTCCTTCGAAAATATTACAGAATAATACTTTTGAAAACAGAAATTAAGAAGTGAGAAACGGTAACGATTAGTAGCATAAAAGAATGAATTAAAAATGCATCAATAATGATCAACACTTTTTTTTTGTAAAAAAAAACAAAAAAGCTCTTTTAAGGTGTGATGACTTTTTGTTGTCAATTAATTGTGTGAACAGTGTAATGACTTTTTGTTGTCAATTAAAATCTGAGTCACAAAATAATCCTAAACCATAGATTTGTTGAGGAGATGAAATGTGGAAAAGCTCAACACGAAGAGCCCAGGGCGTATGTAACAAAGAACTCGGGTCGTGCGTGTAACCGAATGAGAAGAAGGAAGAAAATTGGCGCTTGCAGAGTTCTTCGATCCTGAACTGTGTGAAAGATTTAAACAAATTGTGTAGAAAAGTTTAGATGACACTACTACATGTGAATATTTGACCTTAACGAACCACGATACATGAATGAATAACTGTGCATTCAAAAGTCAATCCATGAAAAGACTGTGCTGATGGAGAAAATCCACAGAAGAAGCCAGATTCTTGTTGAGCAGGAATATGAACTCAAATATACTTGGAATGCTACTAAATTGCAGGTGGTCCCTCATAGCGAGTCACTTGCCAGGAAGAACAGACAACGAAATTAAAAACTACTGGAATTCTCACTTAAGCAGGAAAATTTACGCCTTCAGGAGGCCGGCTAGTACGGACCAGACCGACCAAGCAGTGACCATGGACACAGCCACAGCCAATAATCCAAGCAATAATGTCACAGCAACCAAGCGCAAGGGTGGCAGAACCAGCCGTTGGGCCATGAAGAAGAACAGAAGCAACACCCGGCAAGAAGCTCCGGAGAAAACGAATCAGAACAGTGTAGCAGCGGTTCCGGAGCCACCCACGCCAGCACTAGAGAACGAAGGCTTGTCCGTTAAAAGCGATGGCATAGACTTTGAGGATTTCATGGTCCTGGAAGGTGACAATACAGAAGACAAAGCAGAGAGATCTTCAGAACAAGAAATGGGGGAGGCAAGTAACAATGGAGAAAGCGGAGATGGTTCGTTGAGGTCAGGTGGAGACACGGAAACAGCGACGACACAAGAGGGTCATCAGCAGCGCATTGATGGTGGTGGGGAGTTATGTCTTGATGACATGGTGGACACTTGGTTGCTGGAAGACGAAGGAGGTGGGGTTTCCGGCTTAACTGAAGAGAGAGAAAGAAATGATGAGGTGTCGTGTTTTGATTCCGAAAAGGCATTACGCGATCAGCAGGAGTGTCCTAATGATAATAATAATACTCTAGACTGGTACTCTCGCTCTCCCATGCCTTCCCTATTTGAATACGATCACTGGGATAATTGGGAGATTAATGTGGACGACCAGTTGATGAATCATAACGAGCCGCAGACATGGGAGGACAAACAAGACCTCTTGTCTTGGCTCTGGGAAGACGATGATTGTCAGATTCCTGAAGAGATCATCACTGATCCTGAGAAACAAAATCCGAAGCCGCCTTTGATTCTTTCTTGACCTTCCTGTGTATTGTATATAGTATCGTGTAAAAAGTAAAAGTCGTGTTCTGGTGGTTTAACGAATGGTGACAACGACCTTTCTTGGGTGTTAATAAAGGTCATTTAATTTGACTTTGATTGGTTTTTAATTAATCATCGTAGAGTACATGTACTTTCCACCTCTGGCGTAGATGAGAAGGTGGTTGTGTGGTGGCGAGTTCCCATCGTGAATAGTACATATAGTGTGGAATTGCTATTTGCTAGTCGGAGTTCCCATCGTTTATGAGGCTCCGTACATGATGAATGCTTAATTAGACTGCCCTACATGCTCTGAACGCGTCCACGAAGATTACCCAGGAAAGCTGCAGAATTAATTATATCCTCTCGAGTTAATACGTGTCTTTTTTTCCTTCTCTACAGTTCGTCCAATCAAAGAAATCAATGCATGCAAATGTGCTTTTCATTGGAGATGTAAAAAGATTATGAACGAAGATATCTAATCGGACGTCGATTCAAATGAGTGTAAATGTTTCAAATTAATATCCAGATTAATTAGTGATTTATTATGACACTGCGAATACGTACACATTGATTCTTTATCTCACTGGAAAATTCCGAATAAACTCAATATATACCACCATGCACATTGGTGGTCTCCTTCGATCGAACGGGCACTAATAATTGATGAAAGATGGAGAAGGAACATTCGGGGGTCGTCACTTCTGATTTCTAACGACGGGAATCCGGACGCCGTAGTAGCGGAAAGCCAAAAAAAAAAAAAAGGTGTTAATGATAACAAGGCAATTACTAATATAAAGGGGCATGCATGTTTAAAAGATTGGTATGATATACGAGTATAGAGCAAGAGGTGAAAGTTGGAAAACTGAAGAAGGGCGGTGGGGGGTCCCGGAATGGGTGAGTAACTGATAGTAGCGAGGCTAATTAAATGGCAGCATTAATGGCGTCGGATTGGCACCCCTCTAGTTGGTGAGGGCGGTGACGTGTGAGGGACAACATTAACCAGACGACAAATCCCAGTAATGAAGCCCAGCCGCAGGGTTGGCTGCAATGCGGTCCTCGTTTTCATTCACTAATTAACTATGGAATTCGCTCTCCAGCCTCCCCCACTCTTCACCTAAAATGGCTGCATGTATCTCATTCGATCACCCTCTCCTCCACTCGGAATATTAATTAATTGAATGCTTGAAAGATTGACCCGACACCCCCAGAACTCACCACCGACAGCATCATTCCAACGATTCATCTCTTACTGAACCAGTCTTTAATAAAAGATGCGTCTCTCCGACATCCACGACAGCGTATTCTAGGTATATTAATTTGCAGCAGGTTTGATTCCTCAGTCCCAAGATTTTATATATATAGATATATCCTGCGTAAGGACCACCGTCTCCATATATACGCCTTCTTGTTTTATATATTTTTAATTTAAATATCGGGGCGTTTTACATATAACTGCATCAAATATATACTAGTTTCCTAATCATAACTTTTTCCCAGACATTTCCAAAAAAGGTTGTTGGCAGAAACTAAAACGCTCGATGTTATATACGCAAGTATCTCACAGCAGTCATGTATTGGGGGGGGGGGGGGAGAGAGAGAGAGAGAGAGATGGTCATATACATTATAATGGGAAGTCCTCTACTGCTCAAATGGTGCTCAGAGTGATAAAACGAGAATTGAAAAGATATTTTTAATTACAAGAGTATTTCTGCGAAATCCATTATTTAGTGGTAGCGAAATCCATTATTTATTACAAGGAAAATGAAACCGTATCAATCCCTTAATCATTCTCATGAACTAGTAGTAGTATATATAGAGTACTAAAATAAGGATTTTGAAACGTATAAAATGAATCCCGTGGAGGTATTAAATGATTGGTGCCAATTTTTTCTTTTCGAGGGGTGGGGCTGGGGGCGGGACGGAGAGAAATGTAGTAAATGGGTACAGAAACAATGCAGCCAGGACCTCAACTTTGAGGAGCTTTGCTGGGCTTGTCATGGACTTACTTATTATGCAGCGAATATTCGGGCCTGAAAGCTAAGTAACTTTATTTCCACGTTCGTGTTTTGCTCAGTGTTGACTTGTTCTAAGTCCTTGACAGCGAACTATATCTGCTGCCGAGCGCCGAATTCGTAACTCTTATCACCGCAACCTCCTCCTCCCAATGTTGTCCCCTTTTTTTTTTTGGCCCTTTTTCCAACCCGAATGTTGTCAAATACGTACTGTGCATTGTGGTTCTGCCACGTACGTGTCTCAAGGCATCAGATTCGGATCCATATAACCCTATCCACGCGGAGAAGAAATCTCTATCGGGCATGATACGTACATGAAAGGTTGAAATATAACAGCAGCTGATCTTAGTCATAGGGGGGCCGTCACTGATGTTCAGATCGGACGCGCATGCACCTCATAACTCCATCGGGGCATTACTTTCCCAAGTCCGGTGCATGGAACGGAACGGAATGCAAGTCCATCAATACACAAATATATACACACCCCCACATATAAAGCTGCTTTGTTCCCCATAACATAATTAATAATCCAAATCCCAACAAAATTTCCTCTGCCATCGACGGGAACCGCAAGATATGGGCAAGTATGATCAGATCTGGGTTGTGGCATTGGGATCGTTCGCTTTTCTTGTTCTGTCTTCCTTAGCCCACGACGTCGTTATGTTGACCCAAGAAACTTTCGAACAGGAAGTCGGCCGCCGCAGAGGAGCTCTTGTTGAGTTCTATACTCCCTGGTACACGACATTTTCCGTTCTTGCATTCTTTAGGTTTATTTGTTCAAGTATGTCACAACACGAGTCCGATCAGTTGTTATTCAGCCAAGGAAGCCGTACGCATGCTCATACCTTCTTTCCATTATTTTTGGGTGACAGGTGTGGCCTCTGTAAAAAGTTTGCACCGGAGTATGAAAAGCTAGGTACCAGCTTCAAGAAAGCCAAATCTGTTGTTTTGGTTGGAAAGGTAAGCTTCCTAGGGTTGTTCCCCCTCCATACCTTCTGGAACATGCCTTGCCCTTTTTCATCTGTTCGTGATTGTTGGCATATTTTAGTTGAAATCTTCGACAAAATAAACATGTCATCGTAAAATAGATTGTCTTCAGCAAAAACTGAGCACACCCTCAGAAGGAATTATATTCTTATAAAATACTCCCTCTGATCTTATTTATAAGTTTCAAATTTGAAAATGAGTGTGGTCTATTTATAAAACTTTAATTTTGGATTTGTCTTAATATTTAATGTATTTTTTTAAATGTTAGTCTTTAATTATTTCTTTGTTATCATATTTTCTTACACATTCTCTTTTATTTTTTTTCTCATGACATAAAAATAAAAGTATATTTCTAACCTATTTATTATTTTCAGCTAATTTTAATTAATTATTTATTATTCGTGAATTAGTTATTTTAATAATCAGCAGCATATGGCAATTATGTGGCTTCATGAGGGATACATAACCACCAAAGAATTGTTACCACTTCTATGTTTTTCCTGTTCTCTTTTCTTGACCTTTTTTTCCTTTTGATCGAGGATCCTTGATAAGGTCACTCTTTTGCAATGTTTTCTTGGGATGTTTTAATCTGCCGCAGGTGGACTGTGATCAACACAAGAGTTTGTGCAAAAAATATGATGTTTCTAAGTACCCAACAATTCAGTGGTTTCCCAAAGGATCTCTGGAACCAAAAAGGTGAGCAAGAAGTTCAGCCAGTCGAAGGATAATTTGCTTAACTTTTATATTTGGTTGCCTAGTTTCTTAATCATTTTGCTTTTCATTTTTCCTCTTGCTTTATCGCTTCGTGACCAATATCGGAATAATCCTTAAGGTATAAAGGGCAAAGGACTGCAGAATCTCTAGCTGAGTTTGTGAACACAGAGGAAGGTACTGGCACTGCCTGACTCTATTGAAGCCACGTGCCTTGATGTCAAGTTATCTGAAATTTTTGTAATTTCCAAGGACATATAGTATTTAGACTGAAGCATATTTATAAACGAGCTAACTCGCACCAGCAATCTTTTAATTTGAAGTGTGACAGTGACACTTTCCAGCCACATAAGTAGATTCCCTGTATCTGAACATTGAACTGCACATTTTTTGCTCTCAGTTATCATTTTGCCTGGGGATTGGAGTAGAGATACCTGACCAGAGAGCATTGGTAATAACAGGAACCAAGGTGAAGATTACTATAGCTCCATCCAAGGTGGTGGTACTTACTCCCAACAATTTTGATGAGGTCGTCTTGGATGAGACAAAAGACGTCTTGGTTGAGTTTTATGCACCGTGGTACTCAACAAGTTTTTAATTCAGAGTTTTTGGTCGCTCCAAAATTTCAAGAGACTAAGTTTACGTTTTGTTTTCATATTCCATCAACTAGCATATCAGCTTACAAGTTTTTGTGATTTTTCCAGGTGCAGACATTGCAGAGAACTTGCCCCGGTAAGCAAACATCTGCGCTAGTCTTTATAATTTTCATCAACTGTAGGCGGCCTTCAGCATCTGTAGAATTAGTAAACGTGAAAGTTTGATTCTTCTCTTCACTTCAGGCTTATGAGAAGGTTGCTGCAGCATTTAAAATGGAGGAAGAGGTGGTGATTGCAAACCTGGATGCTGACAAATATAAGGATCTTGCGGCGAAGTAAGATGAAATATATAGCTCATCCACATTGTACTATAGCTAGGGAATAGTTGAGTGTATGTTCAGAGGTCATGGCAAATCCAAAGGATGCTAGCGTGTTTCAGAGAATAATTATATAATATAATAATGCAGGAATGATGTAAAAGCATTTCCTACGTTGAAGTTCTTTCCAAAGAGCAAGAAAGCCGGCGAGGTGTATGGGGGAGGAAGAGACTTGAACGACATCGTCGCTTTCCTCAATGACAAATGCGGCACAAGTAGAGACCGAGAAGGACGGCTTACTTCAAAGGTCAGTGGTTCTGACCGATTCATTCAAAAACCAAAGCTGTTGCAATTAATAATTGGCTTATAGGCTGGTATAGTTGAAAGCTTGGACGCCTTGGTAAAGGAGTTCGCAGCTGCTAAGCATGAAGAGAAGAAGGCCGTGTTTGCCCGAATAGAAGAGCAAGTAGAGAAGCTTAACGGGTCTGCTTTAAGGTTGTATGTGATTTCTATGTATACATAATAACATCGACACTTTTGCGTTTCGCTCGAAGTGAGATACATGCATGGAAATTCAAGTTTTGTAATTTTGAACATACTAGGTACGGGAAGATTTACTTGAAAGCCGCCAGGAATTGCATGGAGAAAGATTCTGATTATGCCAAGAATGAAATCCAGCGCCTGCAGCGCATGCTTGACAAGGTAATACTCCTCTGACCCTTAATATAAGATTTAATTGTTGAATTAATTTTGGTCCTAAATATAAGACTCATTTTTTATATTTATCACTTTTCTCTAAATTACCCCTATGGATACTCCCTCAACCATAATCAAATAGAAGGAAAAGAAGGGGTATTAAGAAAAATGATTATGGTATTTTAGGAAAAACGTGTCACATTTCGTATAATTAACTAACTTACCTAACTTCTTTAATCTAATCAAATTAATTAAATGGGTCTTATATTAAGGACCGGAGGAGTAATATTCTTGGCTCTTGATCTTATCACTAAATATATCCATCTGGTAACACTGTATGTTGTTCTCTGTAAAACATGAGCAACAAGCATTGATGAAAATAGTTTTTAAAAAGGGAAGGTCAGGTGAGTGATAGTTTGGGAGGATAAATGGGAAGAAGTTCTAGTTAGGGGAAAGTCTTTTTCATTGAGTGAAAGAAAAGACGTAAAGGCAGACATATTTGATTATTAATGTTGAGGTGGGTTGACTCATGCAGCGGGTGAACCCAGCGAAGGCAGACGAATTTGCTCTGAAGAAAAACATACTGTCGACATTCGCGTGACAGAAGAGTGGCATGCATCAACCGACCGAATTTATTAATGTTTTGGAAGATTTCCGGGTGACGAACGAACACATTCTCATGTCAGCATGTCGCTTTATAACTCCCTTTAATAATGATGACACAGACCAAACTGTGCAAGGTATAACATAAAGCTTTCATCTGCGCATGTTATAACTTGAAACATGAGATAAATAGAAATTTTATCTTGATTTATGTAAAAGGTACTTATAATTATAATTCCAAATGAGCTATATAAGAGCGGCCATCAACGACGCGCTAATATTCCAGCCCTTATGATTTTCCCGGTGTGCAAATTAATCGGCGCAACAGTTAGTTCTGTGAAGACATGATTTAAATTTTGGGAGACAATCCAAAGTTCCCTTATCCTTATGCTAGTGGGCACTGGGCAGGTCGCTTTCTTTAATTTGACGTCATAATTTATAATTACACCCTGCCTGTCTATCTGCAGTGCCTGACTTTTACATGCAACTTGCTAAATAGCCATCTGGCCCGCCATGTTATAACCAAGTAATACGAAACTTTTACTTTTTAAAAAAATTATTAAAAAAAGAAGAAGAAGAAGAAGAATGGAGTCTTCAAAACAGGACCGGCTTGAAGGGCGCTGAATCTCTGGGCTCTGTGTGTGATAAATGTTTTTTTGGGAAGAGGACATCACAGTCCGGCAGCGAATATCAATGAATGCAGAGGCACAGCTTGGCTGCGTTTCCCAGCTGGAGCGCTCTCAAATTTCTCGTTTTCTGCATTTTTGTCTCCCTTGTTAAGTTACACCAGGATTCGGGGTTGGTCAGATAATTACTTTTAATTATAAGTTCCTCTTTGTTTCTAGTAGACAAACAAAGAAACAGAGGTAGTATCGAAAAACCTAAAAAAGTGGATTTAGATTTGTTTATATATGCGGAGTTTGTGTGCTGCCGCTGCACCCGTTGTTGCTTTATTTCTACAGAACCGCGGCAAGTGGCACCACAATAACATAATTACATATCATCAATTAGCATAACTCAGAAAGACTAATTTTTATTGAATCGGAAGAAACTTTTCCCGACAAATACGCTTTTCCAACGTCGCAAATTGATGCTTTATATGCTTACGTTCTCTCGCAAATTGATAGGTGTCGTTTTCAATCGTGCAGCCGTGTCGTGTTTATTATAAAACATGAACGAGCACAAACATGACACGACACCCATGGGCACCGGGGTTTATCGACCGTTTGCCGCCCATACTCAGTAAACATCAAGTACGCGAATCAACGCGTCATTGGAAGCTAAAATAAGTGAATACTCCTCCGGTCCTTATTATAAGACCCAATTTGACTTTTTATTTGGTCCTAATTATAAGACCCAATCCATTTTGTCTCTTATATTTATGCATTTTTTTTCACGATAATCCTTCTAATAATGATAGTTTTAGCCAATATACTTAATTAGCAAGGATATTTTAGGAATGACAACACTTATTTATTATAAATAACCAACTTAACTTACTTCCTTAATCTCCTCAAATAAGTCAATTGGGTCTTATAATTAGGACCGGAGGAGTACTACTGTGTGATTTGATTATTGACTTAACTTTCATTTTCTCTAATTCTGTCCTTCATGCTGTAATTTGTTCAAAGCATATCATACTGGTGGAAAATATGTCTCCTGCCTCCAGGAATTATTAAAAAAGACAAAAATACTCCAGGAATAGCCCGCAGAATGACTTTTGCACTCCCGTTGACAAAATTGTTCTTTTAGATTTAAAAAAAAAACAAATTATGAGCCCATGTTTGCCAGGACTAAGAGTTTAAAATAAAAGAAAATTATAATAAGGTCCCATACAAAAAAAAAATTACAAAATAAATTCTAGAGGTTGTTATTTTCTATTATAGAATTTGTTGTTACAAGCTGCTCAGATTGTTATTAGACTTTTTAGTAGTTATTTCTCTTATATGGGACTTGATTGTAATTCTCCCTTAAAATAAGCGAATAGTATTCACATTGCGGTTTTTTAAATAAAATTTGCTTTATATGTTCTTTCTTTTTTTATTTTGTTTATTTTTTGGGATATAGATGCTTCCTATTTTCTAGGGAGGGGAATAGTAACAATGGGGCGACGAATGGTCTGTAATGATGATTCCGACCCAATATCGATATAAAGGAAACAATGGAATACCTTACTCCTCCAATAAGCAAAAAGCCACAAAGTAGAGGGGATCTTACGGTGCAAAGGAATATAATTTGTCTATTTATCTGGGAAAAAAGCATGGAAGAAAAAGTACAGCGAATCGCTCTTAAGAGGCCGAAAAGGTGTTTTTAGGAGTTTATGCTGCGGATTCATCTTACGGTCCTGATTAATAAATTTATGATGGCAAAACCTGTCATATCAGGTAAACTTTTCGCACCCCTGCTAAAAACTGGTTGGTCTTCTTATTTCAATCATGTACCTGTACCCTTAACTAAAAATATAATTAAATTTAGTTAAATGCGATAGAGAATAAGTAAGCCTAACATTTTTTACCCCATTTAATAGTATTTGATGTCATTAATTTTACGTTCAAGCATTATCAAACTATGAAGGCTCTCTGGTCAAAAAAAAAAAAATCAAACTATGAAGGCTCAAAATGGGATCATCAGCGTGCAGCACGGACCAAAGGCTCAAGTTGACATGTCGCGCTATGATTCGGCGGAAAGAGGAGCGAAATGGACAGTTGTAAGCAGGAAGCCACCAAAAAAGACGGTCTAAATTCTCAAAACGTAGGTGAAGGCAGGATTTGGGAAGACCATTTTTTAATTAGGTTTTTTCTTTTTAGGTTTTATTTTTAATTTTAATTGGATTAGATTAGAAAGGGACCTCCGACTTCGGCTTCAGCTTCAGCAACCCGGCCGGGGGAGTGTTGCTGACTTTTCTGCTTTCCCGTTATCAACTTCCACCTTCCCGCTCTGATATAAACACAAGCATTTTGGTCTCAATTCTGTACAGCAACGTATACAACACACTGCACCTCTGATAATGAAGTACGTGTTGATCACCGGTGGAGTTGTGAGTGGCCTGGGCAAGGGCGTGACGGCGAGCAGCATAGGGGTCGTGCTCAAGGCCTGTGGTCTTCGCGTCACTTCCATCAAAATTGGTTCTTTGCCTCCTTCTCCTTCTCATTATTTATTGTTCTGTCATTTCTTGCAATACAGTTCTTTCGTTTTGAATATTGCCTTCTTTGGTATTTTGATTAGTTTGAATCCCTTCTTCCTCCTCCTCCTCCTCCTCTTCCTTTTTTAGCGTGACTGAACGTTAGTGTTTTTATAACCTGTGGTCAATATGATTTTCTGGGGTGTCTCTTTTCTTGAATAATCTTGGTCTCCTACTCCTACCTTCCTGTAATGTGCGAGTGCTTATTGAGGACGTTCTGTATGTAGTTTATGCTTCAGGGTACTTAAACTTTTATTCGATTGGTTTCCTGTCAAGGCCGTTCCGTATGTACTGTTTGCTTATGTCTGCTCTTCTTTCTAAAATTCCCATTATTTGATTGTTTCCCCATAGGGATATATGAGCAAATCAAATAATTTGCAACTTCTTCATGCATCTGTTCTCTGTACTATTTGCAGATCCATACCTGAACATAGATGCCGGTACCATGTCTCCTTTTGAGCATGGGGAAGTTTTTGTTCTTGACGATGGTGGAGAGGTTTCCTTCCTTCCACAATACATCTTTTCGTGCCTGAATGTACTAAGGTGATATAATATCGACTAATTTTTTTTTTACCTTTGTTGCTTGGCTTCGAAGGTTGATCTGGATTTGGGAAATTATGAGCGCTTCCTAGATGTCACACTTACAAAGAATAACAATATCACCACTGGAAAAATATACCAGGTGCTTTTATATCTTCCATGAATGAGTACTGGACTGTAAAATGAAATTAATCCATGCTTTCATAAAACCATCATCTGTGCTTTCTGCTCAGTCTGTTCTCGAGAAGGAACGCAGGGGTGATTACCTCGGAAAAACTGTTCAGGTGATACACATTTTATAATTCTATTTTGTGTTGCTTACATTCTCTTATTGTATGGATGAGGTGTAAATTTCAAAGTTTTGGGGATGTTGATACAGGTAGTACCACACATCACAGATGCCATAAAAGATTGGATTGAGTCAGTTGCTGTGATTCCCGTGGATGGGAAGGAGGGGCCAGCAGATGTTTGTGTGATTGAGCTTGGAGGCACTGTGGGTAAGATTTTTGTAGAGTAGAGATGCTTCTTTTTCATCCATGTTGTCCAGGTCAATTCATCACGTGGGAGTATATATTTTTGTTTTTACAGGTGACATTGAATCTATGCCGTTTATTGAGGCTTTGCGGCAATTGTCCTTTTCTGTTGGTAAGTTCATTGTATAAGTTGCTTGTAAATTAGCGTCACTTGTGCAGCAACTTACTTTACTCGCGCTACTTTGAGCCCTGGATTTATTTGTCAAAACTAAGTATAACTATGGATTCGTTGGTTACTGTACGCAGGGTCTGACAACTTCTGTCTCATCCATGTTAGCCTAATACCAGTGCTGGGTGTTGTGGGAGAACAAGTAACATTTAATTGCCTGTGCTTTATAGTTGCCCACTATTAGTATTAATTACTTATTTTTCTCTTTTTGGCTCCTACATTTTTGGTTCTAGAAAACAAAACCTACGCAACACAGTGTCAGGGAACTGAGAGCATTGGGTTTGACTCCTCACCTTTTAGCTTGTCGATCTGCTGAGGTTTGTTACCACGCCAATTATTACCTAAATGAGCTTAAATGACATTTCTCTGGGAAACATAGGGTAACACTTCTGTTCCCTTCATGCGGTTTAAACATAGACAAGCTGTAAAGGTGTTTATTATTTGGGCCTTCTAGATAGCTTTAGTTTATATTTAGTTGATGAAAACTATAACTTTCATTTCAGATGTAGATTTTAAACATTTAATGCTTCTGTTTTATTTGTCCATTGACCGTTTTACTTGCTCTTCAAAATTGGTGCATGTACATAGTTTAGAAAAGGATTAGATGACGGCTCGATCTTGTTTGTTCAAAATTCTTATTGCCTCATCAGTTCTTTCATTAGACTGCAGTGATATATTTTATTTCCGTATGCTTATTTTTGTTGTCAGAAGAACTGGTGTGGAGTCTTTTGTGCTTTTGAACTGCATTGTTCAGTTTGTCAATTATCTCTCTGTAGTAAGTAAAATATTTTGATATTGAATGTGGCAGCCTCTTTTGGATAATACGAAGGACAAACTCTCACGGTTTTGCCATGTTCCAGTAAGTTGTTGGTGAATTTAGCTCGGTGCTTGGTGTTGGCCATTTGCCAAGCAGGGTTCATTTTCTTAGTTATTGATCTTATCCTGGCCTTAAAAGAAGGTTACTGATCTTAGAGTTTTTGTGTGTTCTCCACAGATTGAGAATATTCTAAATATTCATGATGTCCCAAACATTTGGCACATTCCTCTCTTACTTAGGGTGGGCTGTCTATGATTTTTTTTTTTTCTTTGGCTATACTGACTCTTGGCTGGATTATGTATATACTGTCTTATTATCTACTTTATGATTGGCTGATACTTTCAGAACCAAAATGCGCACCATTCAATTCTGAAGCAGCTTGACCTACTCAGGTGAGTCTTCCATTGCCCTTTATGTCTGTTGCCGTTAAAGCCAAAGCAATATATCCTAGTCTGATTTTTCGTCAATTAACCAGGGTCAGATGAGATATATACATCATTGTGATTATAGTTGATGACACTATGGCATCTCATGCAAGATTTGTTCTTAATCACTTCATTGACACTACACAAAGCTAAGGTTTTCATTTTCTTTGGGATATCAATTTGATGACAGACAGTGCTTATTTATTTCATTCTAATGTTTTGTTTCAGCATTGCTATGCCTCCTGACTTGAGGAGTTGGACGAAGATGGCTGAGACTTATGATAATCTTACTGATTCTGTTAGTGCCATGATGATGAGTTTGCAATGCTCTTTTTGAATGTATTTTATATCATATTGTGCATAAGAATAAGAGCATTATGACATTTACAGGTGAGAATTGCGATGGTGGGGAAATACGTTGGCCTAACAGATTCATATTTATCTGTTATAAAGGTGTGTTGTAGCTTTTATTTATTTATTTATTTTTTTTAAGATGAGCAAGAAAATGTAAATAATTCGAGGTTTGGATTTTAGCTTGTTTATTTAGCTGCCAAACTAATTTAAATAGAATAACTTATGGACTGCTTGATGGTGCGATTATAGTATTCAAGGATCTACTTATTATATATATACTTTTAATTTTAATTCTGATTCTTCCCATGAAGGGATGTACAGTTGATGTCATCTCTTCCTGACCATATTAATTAAATTATTGTTTCCTATAGGAGTATAAAAGCTTTCTTTAATATCCTCTAAACTTTAGACAGTGTTGGCTAATCTTCTTGGATTTGGGCATGGTGATTTTGGGGGAAATGAGTTTTCACTTTTGCCATCCACATGCTATGATTCATAGAATGGACTATCAAGTTTCTTGTTCTCTTGTGTAATTGCAGTGTGTAAATAGTCTTTGTTATGCCTGACCTGCTTACAGGCTCTTCTGCATGCTTGCATTGCGTGCTCATTGAGGCCATCAATTGATTGGATTGCAGCATCTGACCTTGAAGATGATAGTGCAGAATCGGTAATGATTTCTTTCAAATGGAATCTGGAAATATTTTGTTAACCGTCACTCTGCATGTAGCCAGCTTTATTTACTTTTGATTTCACTGGTTTAGACACCAGAAGCTTATGCTGCTGCATGGGAGACTCTGAGGGTAAGCTTTACTTTCATATATTATTTCCCCTCTCTGCCTCCCTTTCTCTTCCTGCAATGACGTTTATATGCTTCGTTTTGATACTATTTTCTGAGGTGTTACTTGATTCCTGGTAAATGTTAAGACTGGCAAATGCTAAGGCGTAAGGGTCTTTATTTTGTTTGAACTTCTATTTTGGTGTGAGTTTTTGACTTTGTTAGACCGGTTGGGCTGCCTTTGAAATTGAGTTTAAAAGAATTAGGGAAGAGGTATATGATATCTGAGTCTCAAGTCACAGCTGTTCTTGGAAATTGATACTTGCAGAGGGCAGCTTGTGTCTTGGTTCCTGGTGGATTTGGAGATCGTGGTGTGAGGGGTATGATGCTAGCTGCCAAATATGCCAGAGAGAACAATGTTCCATATTTGGGAATTTGCTTGGGAATGCAGATTGCTGTGATTGAGTTTGCAAGATCGGTGAGTGATATTTTTGTATATGCTGTGTTTGGTTCTGTTCTACCATATGTTTTCATATTGTAATTTAACGGTGGTTCTTAGGTGTTGGGTTGGGAAAGGGCTAACAGTGTAGAGTTTGATGCCCAAACGCCAAATCCTGTTGTGATTTTCATGCCTGAGGTACACATTGGTTCACCCTTTTCTCGCTTCTGCCATTTTCAAAAATATTCCTAGTTACTACTCACTAGCATAGTTAGTCAATGGATGTCATCATATTACATGTTCGCATGCAGGGTTCACGAACACACATGGGAAGCACCATGAGGCTAGGATCTCGTAAAACACTATTTCAGACACCTGATTGTATTACTTCCAAGCTGTATGTTGTGCTTTCCATCACTCTCTGCTGTTTTAACCATAAATTTAGCCCATTTCATGGATTAAAGAAAGGGCATAAAACATACTTCTAAGCTGAATTTGCTAAAGTATATGCGTCTTTTTTTACCCATATTGTGAGAGTAAAATGTTTTCAGCACCCTTTTCTAGGCTTGCTAACATTATGTGTTCCTAAACATCAGGTACCACACCTCACAGCATGTGGATGAGCGGCATCGGCATAGATATGAGGTTGGCTTTTATTGTCAAAGTGTATGACGTGTGTGGCTTGTGAATATTAATTCAGCGATGTCATAATGCAGGTAAATCCAGATGTTATTGGAACACTAGAAGAAGCTGGGCTAACATTTGTTGGAAGGGATGAAAGTGGAAAGCGAATGGAGGTAAGTTTTATAATTGGATGTTGTTTTGGATGAGAAGCGATGGTAATTAATTATATTGCGTTTGTTATCCCCGCTTGTCTTCCTATAATTGTTTTGTTCCATGGAATTGGTGTGTGTGTTTGGGGGGCCAACATTTCCCAACATGAAATGCAGTACTATAGCAGGCCAGCGATTTATATGAAAAGGCAGTTCCCCGAGGCACACACTCCTCTAACTGAACGAGTGTTCTGCAGTCCTGGATTTTTGTGATATGAAATGATGGTGGAATCCTTTCTTTTGAGCAGATCCTAGAGCTTCCAAGTCATCCATTCTATGTAGGCGTGCAATTTCATCCTGAATTTAAATCACGGCCTGCTAAACCCTCTGCTTTATTTCTAGGTACTTGTTGGTCATTAATCTTTAGAGCAACTGATTCTTGTGCATCCTGTGAGTTAATAATTGCTAACCTGAAGTAATAAACTCAAACAGTTGTCATGTGAAAACCAACTGATTATTTCATTATGGCCAATTCTTAATCTAGTGTTGTACCTGCAGGTCTGATTTTGGCGGCAACAGGGAAGTTGGAAGCCCACATCAGTGGCTATGAAAATGGAAGTTAACGCACAATCTTCTGCTATTTTGACAATGCCCTAGTTTTGTTAGGATATTATGTATTTTTTGGAAAAAAGAGAAGAAAAAGAAAAAGAAAACCCGGAATGAAGGGAATCCCCGCAGTCGAGCATATGTGCGGCTGCTCCACATTCGTTTTGGCTGGTTTCAAAGGCGTGTCCATGGTAATGTTATTTGGACGTCTCTTTTACTTTCAGAGCTACGGTTCAATATTCTAATCATTAGACTGCCTTTAGGATCTTTTGATTCTGATGTAACGCAAAACAGAGCTCTGGTATTGGTTGCTGGACTCCCAGGATGTTCATTATAGGTTCAAAGTTTACCTCAAAATCCTCCCTTGTTCTATATGTACGATTTACTCCCTGTTCATTTCATGTGCCAGATTATCTGATCTGCTGTCCTTATTTGCTGCATTCTTGGTATGTCTGCACGCGGACGCAATTTTTAAAATATTGACCTCGCATTTTCCATCTGTTTGTATCATGTAAATTTGTTAAACAATATGAAGATTCAGATCGTACAATCAACTCGTATTTGGTCCAATCTTAGAAATTCGGAGAATTTTGTATTGATTTAACTTCCATCTTAAATTGCTGTCTCACTAATCTAGAAAATAATAGCAATGGTAAGGTTTAGATCTGCTTCAAATAAGTGTTTTTGCGCTTGTGATACGATTCATTTAACATTTACTTTGTACAGCATAAAAGTGTAAAAGCAGTAGATTTATCATAGAGTAAGTGTAAAAGCTCTCTACATCTACCGAAAGAAAATGCAGTAATACGATCATAACAACGCGAACGGCACATTCTTTTTGAAAAGAATTCAAAATTGGAAGGTTGATATTTATTTGACTGTGACATGAAATATAAACATTGCCAAAAAAATGAAATGTAAATACTGGAACTCCGCCGTAGCTCATGGCATCTACAAAACTCACCGCAAAATGTGCGGACTTCAATTTCGGAGGAACAAATGAATGCCGCGCAATGCAAAAGAATCAACGTCAACAACTGAGTCTGGTGGGCGTTTCATTGTACTGTAGGTAAGAAATCTGTCTCTGGAGCTTCATCTGCTGGTAGAATTTGGCAATGAACTCCTCAGCTCGCACATCAACCCCTTGGTCGTCGTCGTCTTCACATTCTCGGTAACGGTATTGTTCATCGCTGTCTTCACCATTATCATAGCGGAGATCATCGTCTCCGTCATATTCAAAATCAACATGTGGATTGATGCAAGGGATGTGAGGCAAATGGAAGCGCAAGGAGGAGGGACGATTGAACATAGGGGTCTTATCGAAGGAGAGCTCGCGTTCGCAGTAATAAATGTGGCTGGGCGGTGTGGTATGGGTGAGACGTCTCAAGTACTTGGGAAGAAGACGCATCTCGGTCATGAGCCTGCGCTTGAAGACCCCACCTTTGCGAGCCCAGAGAAGAGCCAGCCGCAATATCTTCCACGCTCTGTGAGCACCGTTATGGTTCTCCATGCCCATTATGAAACAGCGAAACTCAGGAGAGGACTGTGAAAATCAATGTCCGAGAAGCTTGCCCGTAACTCTGAGCAGAGGCGTTGATGAATGAATGAATGAATGAATGAATGATGATGAGGGAGTGGCAAGAGACGAGGTGGTTTATAAGGGGGGATGGGAATTTTGGACGCGGCGTGAATGAGGGGTAACATGGTAAATTTGGTACAGAAATGTGAGCTACGGGCGGTGCCAACATGTTTAGTGACATGTACACACTGCTGTGGCCTGTACGCGGCCGGATCAAGCTGGACTTCTTTGTGGGCTTCCTATCCTGCCCCTCGTTTCCTCTTTGTTGATTTCATGAGCTTGCTGTCAGTGTATGGTCTACAGCTAATATCCAAAACATGATCCGTTCTGGTATTTATCAAAGCCTGAGGAATTGATATCCACATTTCCTAGTCTTGCCTTTATGTAGGATTTGAGCAAATCTTTGGGCGCAATTTCTAACATCCAAAGCACTGCTCGGTTTGATGATTGAGTGAGTGATAAGCTGATAAACGACGAGAACCAGAAAGGGAGGGTCATTTTGGTCAGGATTGGGGAGTGGGGGGACCCACGCCCACTGGAGGGAAGGCTGCCTATGGTTGGATGTTGTTGGAATGTAGTTACGAGATGTCAATCATGAGAGGGGAAAAAGATGACGGACTTTGCGCCAGCAAACGTTTGCTTAATCTGAGCCCCGCGGAAAGGGGATCCGAAGCTGCCAATTAAAAAGCCAATTTCGTTGAATCATGGAAGGGACGTGCTCTCGTGGCGCGTCCTCATTGGTTTACCTACCCTTCTCCGAAACCGTGTGATTGCCGTTTGAGTGTTGTGCTTGTGAAACTTATAAATAAATTAAGTTGGTCCTTGCTTTTAATTTAGTTTTGTTATTCAGGGAGGAATCAGTGTCTGATCTGCATGTGAACAGGTTTTCATGTATGCGTGTTCGCACTGGCCATCAGGATTAGAAATAATGAGAGAAGAGCAGAGGATAGAAGTGGGGATTGACTATGTGAGGTCAACGGGAATGCACATGGGGAGCGCAGACAAGAGAGGCTTGAGGCGTAATTTGCATGACCGCGCGGTTTCCTGTTAGGCGAGGCAGTATCAAGCTTCAATCATATAAACCCCAGACTCTTCGTTATCTTAATTTATTGTTTATTTAGTACTGGTAGCTTGCGAAGAGGCAGTGGAGCTCGTTTTCACAAAGCGAGGATTCCGGGCTGCGGCTTTTTCTCCCGCTCGCTGAAGCCCCAACTTCATTGCCGATTCGGTGGGCTCATCACCCCCGCCACACTTGGACTGGGCCGGAAATAAGTTTCCAGCCCAATATCGAATTTCTGGCCACTTAATAGTTAACGTAGCCATCAGAAATTCACAATGTACCCCCCAAAAAAAGAAACCCAATAATGATAAACGAATCTGCTGTAAATAAAATAATAGTGAGCTTTTTAAATTGAAAAAATGACACATAACTATTAATAGCCTGATGATTCTTCATTTTTGGCAAAATAAAAAATTAAAACTTCTGTAACTCTTGAGGTTTTGATGCTCCGTTTCCATTATTTTTAAAAAAATAAAACTTCCACCATCTACAGATCTGCTTATTTTCATATCACCTCCGCTCCTAAATATGCTACTTGTAGTGTAATTCATTTTATAGTGTAAAATTATATTATAATCAAATAAGTTTTTATATTTAAGATCCAAAAAATATCGCTCTTTTTTTTCCATTCGTCTGATTCTTCGCAGTGGTTGAAACTTGACATGAGAACGTGTGGCGAGCCAATCCAACATATTGGCTTAAAAATGGAGTTTTTGTTGCAGTTGCTTTCATTATTGCCGATAATCAACTAGAATAATCCTTACCTATGGTAATTCACGGGGGATTAATTTTGAGAAATAAAAAATTACGGCACTACGTAATTTGAAGGTAGGCAATAATTAAATAACATCAATTAATTGTATTTACACAGTATACAATTATCAAATATTGCAACATTCTAGCCCCACTGCTTAGTTATTTTTATTTTTTATTTTTGAAATAATGCTTAGTTAAATTTTGAATCAATTTGAGTTAACCCTGAATCACGCCCAAGCACATTATATACAAATAACGACAGTGTTTTGGTTGAAAAAACGACAATAATGGCGCGCAAGTGCAAGAATGATCTAAATCAAAGGTGTGACGAGCGAGAGTATTTTGAGAATGGTTGTAAGTGGAAACAGAGAGAGTAGTTCGCCAGACAGAAGCATGAAGGGATCAGACCGGAGCGGATGCTTTTAATTTGTGAATCCGAAATGAAGGATCACCAAACCCAGACGGCTCTCCAGTTTCTCAATCATCCACGATGGTTTGATTAAAACGGACAAACCATGAACATGAAATGAGGAAGTGTCAAAACCAAAAGTGATGGGGAGAGTCAGGTCAGGGGATTTTTACGATATGGTCCTATATCTTTGAATTGTTGCCACATCAGCATGAATTAGAGACAAACAAAATGCTGGCTTGACGTGGCATGGCTGGACCAAATGGAACGCCTCAGTAGCCATGGACGATCTGAGAACACTTGTTCTTGATCCACCGGAGCCCCTTCCTGAGCGATGTCTTCACCTTACCTTCAACAGTGTAAACCTTATACTTGGCAATCCTCTTCTTCCTCTTTGCCTCCGGATCCTTGAGTCCCCACGGCTTCGGTGTGCTCTGGCTCCCCCGGTTCGCACTTCCCGGAACCGACACCCCACCGGGGGAGCCCGGTCGTCCCGTGTAGACGCCGTTGGAACTGTAGCTTTTGCCGCTGACGATGCCGTACGGGCGATGACCCGATCCGGACCCTTCCATGGCGCTGATCGGAATCAATGGCGCGAGGGAAGGAAAGAGTCGGAGAGGGAGGGAGGAGGCACGGAGGCGGTATTTAATGAGACGGAATGAGGTTAGGGTTTCGAGAAGGGAAGGGGCAGAATGGGGAAAGCATATAATGAAAGGAAGGCAAGGAAACGTGTATTGAGGGAGAAATGGGCAAATGGCTCGGAAGTTGTGAGAGGGGTGAGTGCGGCGCTGGGAATTTGGAGATAAACAAAGGAGGAGCGTTTCAGTTTGTTTTTATTGAATCTTAAAGAAAAGAAAAAGGAGAAGCCATTTTGAAAGGCTACTGGCAAAAACTGTCTGAGTTTGAGGGTTTTGGCTTGGTGGACAGGTCCTCGCCTTCTGCCAACGAGAAAATCGACGCCTTTGTCGGTTATGGTCATGGTGCATGGCATCATTATTTAGAACCTTTTTTAGGGAAAGAGAGTAGTATTATATATTGCAATTAATAATAGCAATAAAGAATGATTGAGGAATGTTTTGCTGAGTTCTTGACCAATAGAAGTCTGGCCGGCGAACATCGAGAAGAGCCAGCCAAGAGGCCCTGGAAAGCATGTAAGAAAGCACACCACGATCATCACTGATCGTCAGGTGCCCTCAAAAAGTTCAAAAAACAGGATTTTCATAGCGGAGGGACAACCCAGAGCCAAGACTAAATTAGTCATTGGGTTGCTGGAGATTATTATTTGTCGCATCCTCCGCTTCCTCCCCTCCCAACCATATATCAAACTTTAAAACCTGTATTTCACTTTGTGGGCCTGCGAGGATTTGAAGCGGAACCACTGCAAGAAAAAGGGTGGGGGGAATGAATGATGAGCGTCCTGTTTGAATGGGGCATACCATACGTCGTCCTTCTCGTACATGTCATTACGCATTCGATGCCTTTCTCTAATACCAATAGAGTTGAAGACCCGGGGGGGGGGGGAGCGTGTGCAAACAAGAATACCATGTCATTCCTAATTACTACACTTTCTGGTTTAATTTGGAAACGAACTCTTCGGCGCCTTGATCTTTGAGTTCGCCAATGACTG